TTTAACCAATAAAAAACCAATTGGTTCTTGAGTTGAGTCGGTATGATTCACCTTAAAATTATCAATTTTGCAAAAAAAAAATTAAAAACCAAAAAGATCGGCACCGACTAATAATCACTATTGACTCTAATATAATTAAATGGTAAATTTCTTTCAAATATATAAATTTTTGTTAAGAACACGTTTTGTTTCTTTTTATGTTATTTCCTTTTTTCTATTTGTAATATAAGTTGTATCATATTCTTGAATTACAAAATGATAAATTGTCATACCTAAAAATTTTACATAATAATATATGGTGTGTGTATATGTGCATATTTGTGTATGCAATTTAATATTTTTATGTGTTTAGATGATGTGATGATTAAGTATAGAGTTTTAGGATATACTCGTATATATTTTTTGGTATCATAGATAATATTTTTATAGATAGGAATTAATCCTATAATCTTAGCCTAAGTTATTAGGAATTAAAGGATTAAAGTAGTAATAATAATCAATAGAATAAAAAAATAATAAGTTTTACTAGCTTTTATAGGGAATGTTAATGGTTACGAAAGAAGAGTGAAAGTTTTGAAACATGTATTAAAATTAAAGAGGAGACATGAATGGACGTGAAAGAAAAGAAAGTAGTCATAAAAGAAAAAAGGTCAGTGGGCATTAAAAAAAAAAGTCATAAAAGAAGAAGGTTGGTGGTCATCAAAGAAAAGAAAGTGGTTATGAAATAAAGTCATTCGAGTGGCCATAAAAGAAGAAAGTCGGTGGTCTTTTATTATTTTTAATTCATATACTTAAAATTCCTAAATGTTTCAACTCCCCATGCCTATATATAGGGTGTCATTCTCCTCATCTAGAAAAGCCATTTCATAAGCTTATGTTTTGTGTGTGAGAGAGAGAGATAGAGAGTATAATTGAGTAAGAAGTGAAGTGAAAAATATTTGAAAGAAGATTCAAGTCTTAGTGATTCAATATCTAAGATAAGAAAAAATATTTAATTGTTTATTTCTATGAGATTTTAGGTAGAAATGAGTTTGAAATTTCATGATTTGTGATTTATTATGTAAAAATTATATTTCAGTATTAAAATCTTAAATTTTTATTAGAATATTTGATAATCAAGTGTATTTAAATAAGAATTGAAAAGCTTAAGTTAAAATTTAATAACATTAGATTATATAAATATAATTAGAAGAGAATTGAATAAATTAGAGTAGAGTCGATGATTTAATTAAGATTTTCAATTTAAAAGAAATTACAAGAAAAGAATAGGAATTAATAAAAATTAAATGATTAGAGATAAAATAATAATATTTAATTTCTTATATTATATGGTGTGTGTGTTCAAGGTTTGAGTCAAGTCGAGGAATCGATTTTTTGAGAAAGGTTGCGATAGACAATGGTCTTAAGCAAATCAAGTAAGTGTAACTCAACTATACCATAAACGTAAATGATAAATATTTTTTTTTATGTGATTGATGTGATGTGATGGTCTTGAGGTGCATTCATACGCATACATTTATTTTACATGTTGATTGAAAAAAAAACGTTTTAAGCAAATGAATGAGGTTTTTTTTTTTAAATGCATTTTGAGGTTTAAAGGTCGAGGTGCCTATCAAGACATAAACGTTGAAGTCCAAAGGTTAATGTTTGATTGTTAAATGATGTGGTTAATGTTTTTTGGCATATTCTTATTGAGGTTAGACCTTGCTAAGCGGTGTTAGTATCTTCTAACGGGCCCAAATGAGGAAAAGAATTTTAAAAACATTTACGTATAAAAAATTTTAATATAAAATCGTGTATGTTACACTTATTAGGATATTTGTATCTCAATCCGTTCTATGGCATAGGTAATGATGTAAATCTTGAGAATGTTGATGCTACTTCCAGGTGACCAGTGACTCATGTGCCTGCTTTTGTGTGTTCCTAACGATTACTTTATGCTTTAAATAAATATTTATTTTTAAAATAATAAGTGTATTTATGTTAAACTTATAAATGTTGAAAATTTTTACTTGGAATGTGAGTATAAATATTGGGATAAGATTATTTAGGAATAATTAATTATGGTGAGAGATGTTTTATAAATGATGAGATTTTAAAATAATGCTTCTGCTATATTAATGAGAAAATCTTATGGTTATATATTATTAATGAAATATTTTAAAATAAATGAGATTAAATTAGGAATTTAATTTAAAAGAATAAAAAATATAAATTTTAGTAACGATCCGTCGATTATGACCTTTCAAGTGAGGTGTCTTGATCGACGAATCTAAATAAATAGTATAAATTAATTTATGTAATCTTTATCAAGATTGATGTGTTTCTTGTTTGCTTGAATGAAGTTGGTAAATAAGACAAGTTGATGTCAAAATCCTTTTTCTCTTTTTAGAACTATAATCCAAAAGAAGATTTAAAATGTCTTAATTATTGATTTTGACTCAATAATTTGGCAATAAAGTAGATCATAATTATACATAAGATACCAGATCTTATTGAGGCAAAAAAGAGACAAAAAAGTACTCGCCACCAAAGGGTGTGAACTCGTGACGATACATTGCCATCCATTCGATTCTCAAACTTTAAATATATATGACTACGTATTTAGATATGGTATCATATATAAAATGCTACTTTATTATGTGAGCTAAAATCCGATTAATATTTACAATTTACACATCACATTTACATATATAAAAAATCCAATAATATCTATCACTATTTATTTTTTATTTTTATGAGATATTTCAATCTAAACTTTGAACACGTACGTATTGCATATGCGTAAAAAAATATTTCAATAACATTAATCACTATCTATATTTTAGTTTTGTTTAATTTTTATGGGATGTTTCCACTTTCAAACTCTAAACATAATTAATATTTACAATTTACACGTCACATTTATTGAAAAAAAATTCCAATGATAATAATCACTATTTATTTATTTTTTATGAGATATTTTGACTCTAAAACTTTGAAAACGATTATAATTACAAATATGTAAAAAAAAATTTGATAATATTAATTACTATCTATATTTTAATTTTTAATTTTTAATTTTTATGGGATGTTTCGACTTTCAAATTTCGAACAAAATTAATATTTACAATTTACACATCACATTTACGTAAAAAAAATAAAAAAATTCAATAATAATAATCTCTATTTATTTTTTTATTTTTATGAGATATTTCTACTCTCAAACTTTGAATATGATTACATATTACCAATACGTAAAAAGGAATCCGATAATATTAATCGTTATCTATATTTTAATTTTTAATTTTTATAAGATATTTCGACTTTCAAACTCTTAACACGACATATTATAGATACAATATGAACAAATTCATCTATCATATGTCTAATAATTACATTTTCATCAAAATCAAAATCAAAATATAGTTAATATCTACAAAACACCTATCTTACTATGTTTCTGTACCGTCACGAAATCTGCATGGATTAACATTGTCTGTTTTTTTTCCCTTCATCTGAGTATTTAAACTCTTAATTTTTCAATGAAGTACCAAATTTTCCTTTAAAAACAATCAATTTCCGCCAAGAAAGGATTCCCTGCACGATCCATGCACGGTAAACCAGAAGCAACGACGAACCCAAAAGTTTCTACAGCTGGAAGCCAGTGTCCCCTCGGTACCCAAACTTCAAAGAGTCAAAGCCAAAATCACTACTTTCCCCTCCAACGAAGAGTGTGAAAGAGAGAGCCTTGCTTTCTCATTATTCCTTTTACTTCTTACTTCCACAGTCCTGTAAACAGCTCATCTTTTTTACCATTTGGCTGATGAAATGATAATTTTTGTCAGAAATCTTTCATCTTCATCCACAGCCAAAGCAAACCAAATCCCAACAATAATGATACAAATTTCCATTTGTCAGTCACTTTTAACCTCTAGTGGTGTTTCTTCAACATTTCTTGGATTTCTACCTCACTTCTTCGGTCATTCTCATCATCTTCTCAATTATTGTTTTTATATTTATAATATCAAGATGTTTTTTGTTAGTTTTTATATAAGTCCAAATTAAATCATGCTTAACTAAGTTTGATCAGAATTAAATCACGCATATTAGTTAATTATTTTTAAAAATCATACGTTTTAAGTCTATCAACAACTGATGTTTAATGATGCACATAAAAAAAAGGAAAATCAAATTCTTGATCTTCTAAGTTTTTTAAAAAAAAAATCCTTCGTCTAATGCCGCGATTAAAAAATTTAAAAGCTTTTTAAAAATGATAATCGAATTCTTTAATCTATTAAATCAGAAAAATTCTCTTACCACTCTGTTTACAGCCTTCTGCAGTCGTCATCTTCTCAATCTAGAGGTTAAAGAGAAAAAAGTGAAAATGGAAAAGGGTATTGTAATATGGCGTAATGGGGCTTGTTTTTGCTGTTTTTTCTTGAAAATCTGAACTACCATTCCAATATTCTTCTACTGTTCCCTCCTTCTCCCACCATGAATTAGTTTCCTCTCTCTCTTTATCTCTATCTTCTCTCTCACACTATGAGTGAGGAGGTTGGACATTCTCATCCTGGACCTCACATTTCCTGAACTTACTGAGTGTCTCGTTTCTGCAACCTCAAGTTCAAGAACTTGCCTCTCTAGCTTCTTGAACCACTTTTTTCCTTTGTTTAACAACTACTTTACACCCACAGAGAGAACAGAGTTTTTCTTGCAATTTCTTCATTCTCCTTCTGCCTACTTACTCTCCTCTGTGGATAAATCCAATCCAAGGACTGAACTTTCTTCACTGTCTCTCTCAAGTCTCAATAACACATAAGATCAAGGCGAACAATTTCAAGTTTCCTCCTCTCTCTTTCTCATTGGCCCATTAGTAGCACTTCATTTCTTTCTTCGAGTTACTGTGTTTCTGGTTTTAGAGAGATAAAGACATTAACTTTAGAGTGAGAGACAACATTGTGTGTGTCTGAAGTGTATGTCTTTACTTTTTGTTTAATTACCTTCAAAAACATACATTAATGGCCACTACTGGTTGTAATAGTCTTACCATTCATGGTCTCGTACTACTACTCCTCTCTGTTCTTTTCACCACGGCAACCTCCACCACTCACCATCGCCACCTCCTCCACCAACCCTTTTTCCCAGTAATCAATACCATTCCACCAACACAACCTCCCTCTTTGTCTCCTCAACCCCAACCCAAATATCCTTTTACCTCCACCCCAAACAACAACAACCACAACAACCCACAGAAACCCTTTTTCCCTACCCTCCCTTCACCTCCACCACCTCCTCCTTCCACTTCCACACTTGCCACTTTCCCTGCCAACATCTCCTCCCTCCTCTTCCCTCACCGCTCTTCCTCATCCTCTCCTCACCACAACCTCATTGTTTCCATTTCCATCTCCCTATCCCTCCTTTTTGCTGCCCTTTTAGCCATGCTTTCAGCCTTTTTTATCTATTCTCGCAGAAAAACCCAACCGTTTAGTCCTGAAAAGAGTACAGGATCAGAAAGTCTCCGCCTTTACCCTCAAAACACTATCCCCTCGGATGGTTCTCCAAAGATTCCGAAGCTCCCACACCGTCCTGGTGTTGTAAGCACAAGCTCGGAGTTTCTTTACTTGGGCACATTAGTAAATCCTCGAGCTGGCATCGATGATCAAGACAAGCTAACTTCATCCAGCAATGTTGGTCTTAAAATCGGTGTTTCATCGTCATCTTCTTCACATTATCAAAAACTTGGGTCCCCTGAGCTGAAACCATTGCCGCCATTGCCTAGAAATAATTACACACCAACTTATAGAAGTGGTGAAGTTCTTGTTAGTTCTAGTAAAGAAGATGAAGTTGATAGTGATACTGAGGAGGAAGAGTTCTTTTCGCCAAGAGGGTCTTCTGGGAGGAAAGAGGCTAATCATGAGAGTCCGGTTCGTGTTGATTCAAGTTCTAGAAGAGAGATTCAAGGTATTCAAGGAGAGATTTTTGGGTCTAGAAGTTTTAATTCGAGGACTGCTTCGTATCCAGAATCAAGTTCTTGTTCTCCATCAAAATCTGTGTCCAGCAGCGTGTCTCCGGTATCGAATTCTAGTCTTAAAACTGGAAAATCTAAGTCTCCTGATACTATTGTTACTTTTCCTGCTCCAGTTCAGTCCATTAAGCCATCATCTCCATCCATTTCTTCATCATCATGGGGGAGCAATTCAGGGGAGATGCAGAATTCTCTGGATCGAAATTCAGGATCTTCGGGACAGAATGAGCAGGTTCCAGTGAGGATTGAGAGTGTTAATAAACAATTTGTGCCTGTAAGACTGCCACCGCCACCACCTCCACCTCCACCACCGCGATTTTGGGAGATGCCGGTGGGGGTAAGAATGGCTCAGGAAGTGAATTTGGGGAGTTCAGGGCCTCCAGTTCTTGTTACTCCTGCAAGGCCTGTTTTGGTTCAAGATCACGCAATACCAGTTTTGGCCAATGAGCAAAGGCAAAGCAATGGTAGTGTTGAGAGGAATGAGGAGAGCATGAAACCAAAGTTGAAGCCTTTACATTGGGATAAAGTTAGAGCAAGCTCTGATCGGGCTATGGTGTGGGATCAGATAAAATCTAGCTCTTTTCAGTGAGATACTTGAACCCTTTTCAGCTTTTTGTGTGTTTTTGAAGTTTATTTGCCAGTTTCTTGATTGGACTAGGAATTTGTTATTTGTTTGGTTCAGTTGATTGGTTTTGTAAGTTTGTAGAATGTGGTTTTGGTTGCAGGTTAAATGAGGAAATGATTGAGACACTTTTTATGGTAAATAATTCGAATTTGAATGTGAAAGACCACAACGGAAGGCGCCAATTGCTTCCGTCGCTGAACCAGGAGAATAGAGTGCTCGATCCAAAGAAGTCCCAGAATATTGCAATATTGTTGAGGGCTCTTAATGTGACCATTGAAGAAGTCTGTGAAGCTCTGTTGGAAGGTACAAACCGAAATACAGACAAGCTTGTTTTGGGTTCATATAAATTATCCCTACAATGCAATGCAAATTTGTTAATGCATGTGCTGCCTGCAATATTGGAGTCAGTCTTAGTTTTTAATGCCTGCTTTATTACCTTCAACAATGTTTGTTTCCTATAGTTTTTCCTTTGGCTTGTCTTGAAATTGCTACTCGCATCAAATGTTCAAAATCTCTACGCTTGAAGTTGGCACACATTAAGGGTTCTTTTGACTTTGCTATGGGGTGATGTACTACATCTCTTTGACCAGCAACAGCGATAAAACCTTTGGTAGTGGTGGTGCTTTTTTGAGAAAGGGTCTTAAATTAAGGAGGTGGAGGGATGCTTTTTTAGAGAAAAGCTTTTTGCCTGCCACAAAGCAATTTAAAGTGTTGAATGCTTTTAATTAATGGACATTGTGTTATTGGTTGGTTAATTATAATTCTATTTGGTCCCTATGGTGTTATATCCATTAGCAAAAGTTGAGAAAGAATATTCTCTCTTGGTATGACATGGTATTGCTAGTGCAAAAAATATTAACCCTTTACTAATAGAGGGATCTTATTTTTCCCATAACAACATTTCCTTTCTTAGTCCAAAAAGTCAAGTCTTTGTCTACTTAGATAATGCCTCCTCTGCTAGTGGAAGAACACCAAGAAAAAATGCTGTTTTTGCGTGTGCGTATGTGCGCGTGCACATTATTGATGAGGAAGAGCAATGTAGTTGCTAAACCTTCCCACTGATGTGAACAGGCAATTCAGATACTCTGGGGACAGAGCTTCTTGAAAGTTTATTAAAGATGGCTCCAACTAAAGAAGAAGAGTACAAACTAAAAGACTTCAAGGATGAATCACCATTCAAGCTAGGCCCTGCTGAGAAATTTCTCAAGGAAGTACTTGATGTTCCTTTTGCATTTAAGAGGGTTGATGCAATGCTCTATGTTGCTAATTTTGATTCAGAAGTTGAGTACCTGAGGAGGTCTTTTGAAACACTGGAGGTAAATCTTCATTCTGCTTGTGATTTTTCTCTCCCCTTTTTTATATCATATGTGGTCATATAGCCAATATTGAAAAGCAGGCATGCTGTTCTATTTCATGCTTGCTATGGACCTTCTTCTTACTCATGACAATGTAAATTTCCCTTTTACTTTTAATCATGTGTGGTGGTGATCTGAATCAAAAGGGCCCCATGACTCTTGATCTGCCAAAACTGAAGACGAACCTTCAAAAGTTAGAAATCTTGATGCATTTTAGTTACTTACTCTCACGCACATTTTTATAGCTTTTTCCTGCTTTGAGTTTTTCATAACATTTCTGTGTCATATCTTTGTCACTTTCCCTCTGCCTCTACTTGATTCATAGATTAATTATCAATCTACAATTAATCCACCAATGTATTCCTGGATCACAAACCGGATGCTTGAGTTTCTGCTGCTGCATGATGTTTGTACTGCATTCTGTAATTGTTATTGCAGTTCAAACCGTAGGACTTTCTTCATGTTCCTAAGTCATGATATTTCATGCCCTGAAGTTCTAGTAGCTTCTGAAAAGTGAGGCCTGGTTACATCATATGATAGATTTTTGAACGCGAGGAGAGGTGGAAACTTCTGCATAAAAAACCTTGGAAGAAATTGGATGCAATGTCTGTACCTTGCATGGTATTATACCAGAGAGCTGTGACTTCATTCACCTAGGGCCTTTGGGGCTGGAGTGCTACCTCTAATGCATAAATAATCCAGCAATTAGACCCACAGGGGAGGACTTTCTTAACACAGTAGCAATATATACCAACATGACCCAGTTTTCTCCCAAGCACCGTACAACCATTTGGTTGGCTTCCTAACATGGAATGGCAAGCATCAAATTGGATTTTTCAGATTATTGGTGTCAATATTTTTTGCCTTGGATACAAATTTAAAGGACTTCTTTTGCATTTTATTCTCTATTCTGCTTGAGCACATGAATTTCGTTTATCATTTTCTGTTGCAGCAATCTCCCAGCTGCTGCTCATATTTTTTCCTTCTTCTACAGGCAGCTTGTGAAGAATTGAGGAACAGCAGAATGTTCTTAAAACTTCTAGAAGCAGTGCTCAAGACTGGGAACCGGATGAATGTTGGCACCAATCGTGGCGATGCCCACGCCTTCAAGCTTGACACACTCCTTAAGCTTGTTGACGTTAAAGGCACTGATGGGAAAACCACTCTCTTGCATTTTGTTGTTCAGGAAATCATAAGATCGGAAGGCTCTCGTCTTTCTGGAACAAACCAGAATCAAACAGCCGAGAAAACTCAACAATCTGTATTCCAGGATGAAATTGAATATAGGAAGCTTGGTCTGCAAGTAGTTTCAAGTTTGAGTGGAGAGCTTACCAATGTAAAGAAAGCTGCTGCCATGGATTCGGATGTGCTTAGCAGTGAAGTTGCAAAACTTGCCACTGGAATTACAAAAATTATGGAAGTTCTGAAATTAAATGAAGAAGTTGCATTGAAGGAGAGTAGCTGGAAGTTCTCTGAGTCGATGAATGGGTTCATGAAGAAGGCAGAGGAAGAAATTGTAAGGCTTCAAGCACAAGAAAAGGCTGCTCTCTCTCTGGTGAAGGAAATAACCGAGTATTTCCATGGGAACTCAGCCAAGGAAGAAGCTCGCCCATACCGGATTTTTATGGTGGTGAGGGATTTTCTTTCCATTCTTGATCGTGTATGCAAAGAAGTTGGAAAGATCAATGAGAGGACCATATATAGTTCAGCCCGACCTATGCCTTCAAATCCAACACTTCTTCCTGTTTTTCCAGGACTCATCGGCAGGCATCATGATGGTTCGTCTGATGATGAAAGCTCATCCTCGTCTTCATAAGATCACTCCGCATGATTCTGCTGAATCTCCACTGGGATGCTTACCCGAAATTGGCAGTGCATGCAGCGGACTATTTCAATCAAAGCTTCTGCTTCTACTCCATTCCCCATTTTTTGGTTGGCCTCCTTTTTGTACCTAAAATATTACTTGCAAGATTTTGGATTTGTTTACTTTATATGTAACATACCCAAGGGATTACGTCAGGACATAATAAAGTAGTAATAGCAGAATAGTTTATCATGTAAATCTATTAGAAGCTGAAGTAAGGTATTTTGTTCAGTGTCAAGCAAAAAGCATTGTCAAATTTGTTGCATCTTGCCATGGCCAGTTCCCTTTTTTTTCCCTTCTTTGAGTTGATAGACCTGTAAGCTCATGCATGGGCTGAAGAAAACTTCTAAGCAGAAGAAGAGAAACTGGTGGTACAAATGAGACACAGATACCAGTTTTGTCACCCAGTTAATTAAAAGGATAGCGCACTTTTGCTTTAGTCATCCAGATTGACGGTTAAATAACACGATGTCATTTGCATGCTCAGGGCATAAATGAGCATGAATTGATGGGCTTCCAGTTAAGCAAACAAAAAGATTTGAGCAAAGTTCTATTGAACCAGCCGCTTGGTGGGGTTCTCTGACGGCATCAAATTGCCTGAATGTATAGGACCGTATAGCATATTTATGTTTTGATGGTGAGAACCAACCCTGTGATATATTCTCACTGAACTTATAACTGTGGTTTATTATGATGCTAATAAATCCAAACATTGCTGCACATACATGCTCTCGTTATCCAAGCCTACCAAAAAAAATTGAAAGAAAAAAGAAGAATTTTGTTTTCTCCAGGCGATTCCCACTATTTTTTTGTTCCCCTGCTTCTTTTCCAGGCCAGAGAGGTTTTTTTCTCATGATTATGCAATCTGGGAGCTTTCACCATCCATACGTTCAAGCACTCGAAGTGCTTCTTCTTCTGTAGCTGGAACAACATTCCGAATCCTCAATCCGTCTTTAATGGCCTCAGGAAGAACAGTGAATGTGAAGTAGAATTTGTTAGATACCTGCTCAAATTATGTGGCATACAAGAAAACCATTGAATTCAGTAATACAATTGCGATTGCAAGCAGTAAATCACTAAGTTTTCTGTAGGTTTAGAGAGCTGTGAGCATTTGGAGAAAATTCTTCCAACTCTATTAAATCTACTATCTTAGCAGTCATTCATTTTTGTAGATCTTAATGTTACTGAGTTCCATCACCATGTGTTTGAACAGCAAAATAGAGCGTTTCCATGAATAAAGACGCTCACCTCACTAGATCTTAGCTCAGGCCTTGTAACATGAGCTACAACTTCCAGATTTATCAAAGGTTCTGCTGGGTTCTCAAGTTCTGTGTACAAAACACAAGACTTTAAGCGGAGGAAATTTCCAACATCCACCTGCATCAGTGAAACAAATTTTGGAATCACATAAAACTTAAAATATAAAGCTAAAAGAATTTTGCAATAAGTTCCAGATATAATAAAATTCAACTTCCAAACGGGAAACGTTGAAAAATCTTCTATCTTATTCATTGCTTGTCCTAATACTCAATCATCATGAACATGAAAAGTAGAAAGAGGTAAGCAGCTAATTTGTTGAAAAATCTTCTATCCTATTTTACAAACTCCCAAATCTAAGTTTATCTACACATATAAACACCATGAAAGCTGATAATGATTCACTACATGCCATGTCCCAGGACAAAAGAGAACTATGAGAAAATTTAAGAAAGTGAAATGTCCTCCGAAGGATCCTGGGGAAATTTGAGTTCTAAATCGGTTCCACAAGATGATTTAAATATTTGTTCCAAATTATGAGAGAGATATTACTAAGCAGAAAGCTTGGTACGTACAGGTTTAAAGAAATCAACATGATCAACTTCAACAAAGCGTGGTGCAGCACCAGCAAATGCATAAGCATTTGAGAAGGCCAGTTCAAATGCCTTGCGCATCAAAAATCCCCCAAAAATACGACCATGAATGTTCCTTTGCTGCGGCTGACAGATAAAAGAGTTCTCATGGCGAGTATCTTGTATAAGAATGCTATCTCTGTCTGCCAATGCTGGCATGTCACTGAAAACCCGCCCTTCAGCCAACAATGCATTGAGCCTTTCCATATCCTCAATTTCAGGATCTTTTTTCTTCTCTGCTTTCTTCTTTTTCCTCATTCTGTTTCTTTCTTCTGCCTCTTCCCAAAGCAATTTCTCTTGTTCTGTTTCAGGCGAGATCTGGTTAACAGGAGCTGATTTTCCTGTCTTTGAATCACGAGCGACAAATGTGAAATTTGCAACAAGAGCAACCGTGTCTGATGGATTGGGGGTCCCTGCTAAACAAGTTCCCATAAAAAACCATTTCCAGGAATAATACTCTGAACTCTTTAGAGAACCAAAGAGTGTAAGAAAACACTGAGTGGGTAGAATTTGAAAGCAGCCTGTGAGAGCAGAATATCACTACAAGATGAAATATTTGGAAGGCTATCAATGTTGCTTAAGAAATTAGATGCAAGTTTACCACATCTAAGATTTGTGCTTACTTCCAAGGATGAAATTTTACTGAGAATATATTGGGAGCAAAGCATCATATCTAATGCTTACATAGAAGTACTGGAAGAGTATACTCACTTTACAGAAATGAAAAATGCCACAATCTAATGGAAACATGGCAAGCTGCTTTTCCAGCATAAAAGTGCATGGGAACGGAAAAATGATTGAATAAAGCAGAAATTCTTCAAAGCCAACAAACAAGATTGAAAACATTAAAAAACATAATGACAAAAATATTAATCCAAGCAGCCACAAACTAGAATTTCTTTCAAACATAAGATAGCATAAACCAAAAGCTTTGACTTAAATTTGAACTTAGTGCAGTAGCTTCAATTTTTGGAAATGAAACTATACCCTCCAAAATTGCTGATATTTTCTCCTGTTTCTACCAACAGTATATAATATGATAGGGGACAACAGCTACAACAAACATCAGTACAAAAAAAAGTTTAGTTCTATTTTAGAAACAAGTAAATCTAAGATACTTTCACATAAAGTTACCCGAACAAAAATCAACCTACGCAACACAGGGTTGGGGGGGAAAAAAGGAAAGAAAGAATCAACTCAGCAAAAATTTCTTCAGAAGAACTGCTTTTGAAAGTGCAGAAAAATACTTATTTCATACATTTCATATTAACAAGCAAAACTTAAAACCACTTTTACGCCAATTCATACAGTATACTTTCTCTGTACAAGCAGAACATTGCATTGATAAACTATAACTTGGACCTTAATGCAAGTTCAACAAGCAACACAAAAGAACACCAGTAATATCCAGTTTTCCACAACAAAGCTCTCGTCTGCTAAATGGCACATTCAGTTCCCTCAATTTTCTCCAGCACAAACTTTTTTCACGCTAGGATTGTAACTCATTTACAGTTTCGTCTTCTCTGTTGGTAAACACTCCTAACTAAATGAAGTGAAGCAAGAGGAGTATGAACGTGCACATGAATAAACGATACAAGGAATCTAGTAATGTACAATCAAATCACAGCCTAGATTGTAGAGGAAAGAACAAAAGAAACACCCTTTCCACTAGCAAACCTTCAGTGGGTTGAATCACTTCCATCTGAATCTCCATGGATGACCTCCCAACCCATGTAACAGCACCAACTATTGTCAAATCAGCATCAATAAGGATTGGTTTTTTCAAAACGATCCTATCAACAGAAGCAGTGACCAATAACAAAGGCCTAGTTGTGCCATCATGATTGCAGCAGTGCTGTTAAGCAAGTGAAATATTGGTCAAAACAAAAGACCAAATATACACAATAAATAAAAACGAAAATCTAGACTATATAAGCTTACTGAAAATGGTTCAAACCCTATCTCAACTATCACCTATCAATCTTTAAGCAAACACAACAGTTAAAGAAAGCTTGAAATTTAGAACCTCAAAAGATAATCAAAATACTTCATACCTTATAGGAAATGGTTCCAGCAAGAGCATCAAGATCTTCAACCAACTTTCCCATTCTAATCTTATTCCATGGATTTCTATACTGTTCTCTAAGTATAAAATCAGAAGAAAACTTGTAAAGAATGCTAGTCCTGCTCTTAGATGGACTTTTCGCAACCAATTCACTCGCTGAAGACCCAGAATCATTAGGCTCCTCGAAAATTCTTGATCTTGCTTCCCATAAAGCATTGGACACAGGTGAATGGTACATTCCAGGCCACAAACTTATTGGTTTTCTAATAGAAGATCCTGCATCAATTGGTTGTGAGCTCCCGCTTGGTACAACGTTTTCTGGGTTTGGATTTTCACTTGAAAAGGCTCTTCTTTGACTGAATTTACTTGAGATTGGGTCATGAAAGATTGTTTTAGAGATTGGTTCGTTGCCAAAATGACATCTTGAAAGTGAAAAAACTGAACTTGAACTTGAAAACAACCTTATTTGATTAGACAACAAAGTACTTGAAGTGGGTTTTGGCTTGTGTAATGAATTGAACAAGAGGGTATTGGTCTGTTCATTGTTGAAGTGATGTCTTTGTTGGTTGCTTGAGAGTGGCAAGTGGTTGTTGGTGGCTTCATCGATGTGGGGTTTTGGTGTTAGAGATGGATCAAGAGTGAAAGTGAACTGGGAAGCAAGGGCTTTGTGGAGGGTTGATGATTTGGGGTTAGGTACAAGAAGTGATTTTCTAAGTGGTTTCATGATTATATAGTGAGTCGAAAAGGAAGAGAAGTTTTGGTTTTTTCATTCGGAGTGAATTTAAAGAAACATATAAATGGCTGCTGGGTACTTGGCTGACTGGATTTTCTGAATGTTGGGAGTTTGACCAGATGATTAACGACAGTACTCTTGGAGAATATTTCTAAATATTCAGTTGGAAACTATTTTAATTCTGATTCTAAAAGGTAGATATATGCATTAGCAAGGGCCTAGTTTTTGGGCTACGTTAATTCCTATGGGCTTTGAAAGTCCTATGGCCCTTTTCATTATCATTTTCTCTTCTTTTGTGTTAAAAAAAGAAAAAAGAAAAAAAATATTTTCTCAATCCGACCGTACTTTGGAAATATTTCAAAAGGAGTCCATTTAAAAAATAAATTATAAATTAATCTCTCTAATTTTAAAAAATAAACTAATTAGTTATTCTCGTTTAAAAAAATATTATTTAGTTTTTTTTATTTATTATTAATCATATTTAATTTAACATCAGTTTTATTTCACAAATGTTTTTTTTCTCATTAATCTTTTCTTTTTTTCTTAGAATAAAAAAATCAAAATAAATTAAAAAAGAACAAAAATGATTAAGCTACAAGTCCATTTAAAAATATAGAGATTAAATAATTATTTTTTAAAATGAGAGAGATTTATTTATTTATTTTTCGAAATTAACTACTTTTGCTTTTCAAGGTGATTAATTTTGGTGGCCAAGGAACAACTTTTTCTTTGCATTTTACTCTACTTGCATTTGCTTTCCAACCGCCAAATAAAGTTCTGAATACTTTATAGCCAATTAATCTTAACAATTTTTGATCTACAAGACCCGTTAGAAAGATCCATTATGAAATAGATTGTTACAAGAAACCCACTGATCATTTAATACGAAATGTTAAGATTTAGAGGAAAAAAAAAAAACAATATAGAATGAGATATGTATAGAAAGATCCATTATGAAATAGATCGTTACAAGAAATACTCAACAGAACTGCTGGAATAGAGAGACTAGAAATCACCACTTTCATCATCACTCATCTTCAAATGTTGGGTTGATCTGGATTTTCATCAAATACAAGATGGATCCCACACCTTTTCCTTCCTTTCGATATCCCTTCCCAGTAACAACACCAAGCGTCTCCTATGAGGAATTCAAACGTAACTTTATGGCCAAAATATTTACTGAAATCACCGGAGCAACTGTTATCGTAACATAAAAACATGTGATCCAACATAGGCATCGCCTCAAGGTGAATCTGAGATAGATAACTCTTTCTGCAAATGACATCATCATGTTCGCCATTTTTAATTTTGGCCTGCCAACAAAAACAGGGGTGGAATTCGTGTAAATGAGCAATCAAAGACAAAGCAGAAAGCAATTGCTGAGAGCTTAGAGAGGGTTTGAGGGAAACTGTATGGTTGTTGAAGGTCCCATGCTTTGATTGCTGAACCATTCTGGAATTTCACTTCCGGGTAAAACCATCTGAAAAGAGTTTCGCATGTTTCCAAACTGGAAGATAGAAATGATATTAATTATTAGCATAAGTAAATTATTATATCCAAACAGAGACAGAGAAAGAGAGAGTCACCTGGATTTTCAGTTGCATGTCTGCCATCAATGCCTTCTGATCCAATTTGAAACAATTTGCAAAACTCAGTTGCCTCCCTGAATCGCCTAAAGTGCTGGTTGATATGATTTCTAATGATTCACAGCCATTAGCTGCTAGACTTTTCAAGGATGGTGGAAGTTCTGGTAGTTCTTTAATGAGTGTTCCATCTAAACAGAGCCAATGCAAAGATTTCAGATTCCTAATTGATGAGGGTAGCTCTTTAATTGCAGTTCCCCTCAAACCAAGTTGTTTTAAAGATTCCACAGGCTCCATAATTTCTGGGAAGCTTTCGAGTTTTGAGCAACCTGATAAAACTAGATATTCAAGAAATTTCAATTTACAGATGCTGCTTGGGAGTCTAGACAGCTTCTTGCAGTTCCTCATCAGTAGCCTTTCAAGATTTGTAAGAAACTGCATTGACGAAGGCACCTCTTCGATAGAAGTCCCATCCAAAGCTAAGCGTCTCAAATTTCCTAAAGATTTCAGATCCCTAATTGCAGTTTCACTCAAATCAAGAGTGATTAAAGATTCCAAAGGCTCCATAATTTCTGGGAAGCTTTCAAGTTTTGAGCAACCTGATATAATTAGATATTCAAGAGATTTCAATTTACAGATGCTGCTTGGGAGTCTAGAGAGCTTCTTGCAGTTCCTCATCAGTAGCCTTTCAAGATTTGTAAGAAACTGGATTGACGAAGGCACCTCTTCGATAGAAGTCCCATCCAAAGTTAAGCGTGTCAAATTTCCTGAAATCTCTGGAAATTTGGTGATGTTTGAGCAACCTGATAGATCAAGCTCTATAGTCCCATCATCAAATGATTGCTGAAGATCTACACTAAATGATTGCTGAAGTTCTTCTATTGCAGTCCTACTTAGATCTAAATGTACTATCTTGGCTGAAATCTGTGGACTCTTCTTGATATTTGAGCAACAGGCTAATGAAAGAACTTTGAAATTATTTGAATCAATCCTCCTTGGAAAACACTGAAGATTATCACAATAATCGAGACGTAGTACTTCCAGGTTCTCAAAACATTGAAAGTATGATGGAACCTGTGTTAAACTATCGCAGTAATCAAGAAGTACATACTGTAGTTGACTAGCCTTTGATAGATCCGGTAATTCAGTCAAACATACAGAGTCACTGATGTTGATTTCTCTTAAATTCACAAGATTCTGTTGTACCATTAAAAGTATAATTAGAGAATTACCGTATTGAACTTTATAATTCATATATATAGAAAAGTTTGTAGAATTTAAATCATACCTGTTGTCCACTCCAAAGTTTTTCAACCTTGCTGCTCGGAAAAGTCAAACTCAACAAGGTTTTCAGCGCAAAATTTTTGTGGCAAAGATCTGGAAGGGTACTTGATCCCAGCGGAAATATCTAAGCCGATTGGGAAGATATTCAAGACCACAGTGAGGAAGCTCCACTTTACTTGTCTTGCCCTTGATTATGAGAAATTCAAGACTGGGCATCCCTGCAAAGGCATCAGATTCCAATTGCATTTCCATTGCTTCAGGCATGTCAAGGCATATGCCTTTAACTGCTTTCGCTTTCTACAATCAAGGACAAAAAATAGACGATTAATACAGTGTTTCAATGAGATGTACAGAGACATGGTGAATGAATCATAGGAGGTAAGCAAAGTTATTGACTATAACTTTAACCTTTCTTTTCTTCAATACTTGGTAGATATCATCAGGATCAACCAGCCTGCTCCGTTTTCTAGGATTCTCAGATTCCTCACCAACAATACTACAAGCCATTTCTTGCAGCAAATCATGCATCTTTAATGCTTGCCGTAAGAAGTCATTGTTATCAGAGACCTCTCAATTAAAACGCTTATACTGCAATGCACAGTCATGAGGTACTTCTTTTCTAATATTCTTGTAACATTGGTATCGGTTCTATCCCTCTAAAAAAACATGCAATATTAAGAAATATATTTTTTTGCTCTTCATTCAGCCCATCATAACTAAGCCTCAACACCTTTAGAATTCCAACATCCTGAACCTGTCCTAATCCCACTCAATGCACTGCCCCAATCCTCTATGCTTCTATCACAGAAAGCAGAACCCAAAACCACAAGAGCCAATGGATTTCCTTTTGCATAATTCACTATCCTCCCTAACAACTCTTTGTGATCACTAGTGGGATCAGTTTTCTTGAAAGCTTTGGATTTAAGGAGTTGATGAGCTTCAATGTCATTCAATGCCTCAATCTCGATACCTTGCATCAACCACTTGATCTAACACATGCTTATCCCTACTTGTTACAAGAATTCTACTTCCGGGACCAAATGAATCATGCCCTCCAAGTAACAATTCTTCCAAATCCATTGAACTATCTACATCATCAAAAACAATGAGAACCTTTTTACGACGAAGCCCATCTTTTATAAAATGATTTCCAAAATTCAAAGGACCCATATCCAGAATGTCTTGACGTACTAGTCCCGAAACGAATCTTCTCTGCAAATCAAGCACTGTACATCTTTTTAACTCTTTCCCAATGTCTGGAACAAAGACAGAGGCTTCAAATTCAGAACAAATTTTGCTTGTATACAGCTCCAGCGATAGTTGTTTTACCTATACCACCCATTCCCCATATTCCTACAATCCGAACATCTTGTGACTCCATCTTCAGCAAGAGATTCAATTTCCCTTATGCGTTCATCAAATTCCCACAAGATTCATGGTGTGAATGGGGAACATTTTGCATAATTTATTGCACATATCTTGCATAATATATCTCCAGAAGATAATGAGCTTGTAACTAGTTAGTCCGCGATGGAGAATTTAGACTCCGTAGCCTGACTAACCAAATAAAGAACACGTACCATGTTAGTTGGAATGGAGGATTATTGCAAATTTGACAAAGTAAAACGCATTAATTAACATGAAAACTTATATAGATAAAATCTTAAAAAATAAGAAGATTTCTTTTTTAATTTTAATTAAATAACGTTAATAATAATGATAAATAAATAATTTATCATAACTACTTGAATTAATCTATTAATTCTTATCTTCACTGTCTAAGGATTGAATATGTTTTAGGAACCTCTTAACCTGAAGATGAGATTGCTGCTACTTATTCAATTCCCGTGAAAGGGCCTGGTTGGGAGGTGGTAATACCAACTGCAAGTGGAGGCATGCTCTCTACCCTTAACAGCTAGTTGCTTGTTGGTACATTCATAGATTTTGGTTGTGGTTGCGGTTGCGGGTGCAGAAATGGCCTGACCATTCTGAATGTCTGCCTTTTTGTGGTGGCGGGGTGACCTCCAACGGAGGATGTGGAGTTTGCATGGCTGACTTTTGTTAGGGGATAAAAGAATTGAGATGCACAAGTAGGTTATAAGAGTAAATTATAAATTAATCCTTTACTTTTGAAAAAACCATTAATTACTCCTAGTTTAAAAAATTAATATTTAATTATTTGACTAGCGTTGATTATGTATAATTTATTATTAATTTATTTTATAAAATGTCATTTTTTTTCATTAGTCTCTTTCTTTTTCTTTTTCTTTTAACCTATCAAATATAAATGTTTTGAGTTAATTGATATTTGCAAATTACTGATTCAGATAAAATCATTTGTAGTCAATTGTTAATTTTGCTTTTAAAATTGAATCAGTAGATGAGAACATGTGTCTAATAATTAGACATCTACAAAAATGGCCTCTTTCCATTCTATTGTTGTGCAAAATTAAGAGACATCTAGTAAGAGCAAAACTCGACTCGCATACAAAAGTGAGCCATTCAAACTCCACATCCTCCGTTGGAGGTCACCCCGCCACCACAAAAAGGCAGACATTCAGAATGGTTAGGCCATTTCTGCACCCGCAACCGCAACCACAACCAAAATCTATGAATGTACCAACAAGCAACTAGCTGTTAAGGGTAGAGAGCATGCCTCCACTTGCAGTTGGTATTACCACCTCCCAACCAGGCCCTTTCACGGGAATTGAATAAGTAGCAGCAATCTCATCTGGTGATAAGCCTACAACTAAGTCACTACAATTAATATGACCAAACAGAGAAAAATTAAAAATTATTAAATCTAAATTGATCAACGCTAAGTTAAAATAAATAAAAAAATGATTTTTTCTCTCCACTTTTCAAGGTGATTAATTTTGGTGGCCAAGGAACAACTTTTTCTTTGCATTTTACTCTACTTGCATTTGCTTTTCAACCGCCAATTAAAGTTCTGAATACTTTATAGCCAATTAATCTTAACAATTTTTGATCTACAAGCGAAGATGGCAAGCCGCCAGTTTCTTCCAAAAACAATTACCTCAGTGGCTGCTGTACAAGAGAATATCATCACACAACAACTTACAAGCCTATATCAGTGTAGCAGTCTGCAATTTGCTTGTTTTAAAAAGTAAAACCCATTGAAAGGTATGTTAGAATAAACCCACTGATCATTTAATACGAAATGTTAAGATTTAGAGAAAAAAAAAAACAATACAGAATGAGGTATGTATAAAAATAAAAATAGAATAATAATTAAAAACACACACATATATAATGTATAGAAAGATCCATTATGAGAGAGATTGTTACAAGAAATACTCAACAGAACTGCTGGAATAGAGAGACTAGAAATCACCAGTTTCATCATCACTCATCTTCAAATGTTGGGTTGATCTGGATTTTCATCAAATACAAGATGGATCCCACACCTTTTCCCTTCGATATTGCCATATCACCAAGCTCTCCTATGTGGAATTCAACCGTAACTTCATGGCCAGAATATTTACTGAAATCACCGGAGCAACAGTTATCGTAACATAAATACATGTGATCCAACCTAGGCATCGCCTCAAAGTAAATCCAAGGATAACGCTTTCTGCAAATGACATCATTATGTTCGCCATTTTTAATTTTGGCCTGCCAACAAAAACTGGGGTGGAATGGTGTATATGAGCAATCAAAGACAAAGCAGAGAGCAATTGCTTTGAGCTTAAGAGGGTTTGAGGGAAACTGTATGGTTGTTGAAGATCCCATACTGTGATCACAGAACCATTCTGGAATTTCACTTCCGGGTAAAACCATCTGAAAAGAGTTTCGGATGTTTCCAAACTGGAAGATAGAAATGATATTAATTATTAGAATAAGTAAAATATTATATCCAAACAGAGATAGAGAAAGAGAGAGTCACCTGGATTTTCAGTTGCATGTCTGCCATCAATGCCTTCTGATCCAATTTGAAGCAATTTGCACAACTCAGTTGCCTCCCTGAATCGCCTAAAGTGCTGGTTGATATGATTTCTAATGATTCACAGCCATTAGCTGCTAGACTGTTCAAGGATGGTGGAAGTTCTTGTAGTTCTTTAATGAGTGTGCCATCTAAACAGAGCCAATGCAAAGATTTCAGATTCCTAATTGATGAGGGTAGCTCTTTAATTGCAGTTCCCCTCAAACCAAGTTGTTTTAAAGATTCCATAGGCTCCATAATTTCTGGGAAGCTTTCGAGTTTTGAGCAACCAGATAGATAAAGAATTTCAAGAGATTTCAATTTACAGATGCTGCTTGGGAGTCTAGAGAGCTTCTTGCAGTTCGTCATCATCTAGTTCTTGCAAGATTTGTAAGAAACTGGATTGATGAAGGCACCTCTTCGATAGAACTCCCAGTCAAAGATAAGTGTATTCAAATTTCCTGAAATCTCTGGAAATTTGGTGATGTTTGAGCAATCATGATAGATAAAGCTCTAGTCATCATCAAATGATTGCTGAAGATCTGCACTAAATGATTGCTGAATTTCTTCTATTGCACTCCCTTCTTAGATATAAAAGTTTTATACCTGGCTGAAACCTGTGGAAGCTTCTTGAAACTCGAGCAACATTGCCTAACCGAAAGAGTTTTGATATTATTTGAATCAATCCTCCTTGGAAAACATTGAAGACTATCACAGTCACCAAGACATAGGTGCTTCCAGGTTCTCAAAATGTTGAAAGTATGATGGAACCTCTATTAACCTATGGCAGCCATTAAGAAATTTACATACTTGTAATTGACTAGCCTTTGATAGATCCGGCAATTTAGTCAAACATGGAGAGTAACTGAGGTTGATTCTTCTTAAATTCACAAGATTCTGTTGTAACATTAAAAGCATAATTAGAGAATTACCGTCCTGAACTTTGTAATTCATATATATATATATATATATATATAAAAGTTTGCAGAATTTAAATCATACCTGTTGTCCACTCCAAAGTTTTTCAAGCTTGCTGCCAAGAAAAGTCAAACTCAACAAGGTTTTCAGCACAAAATTTTTGTGGCAAAGATCTCGAAGGGTATCCATCCCAGCGGAAATATATAAGCTGTTTGGAAATATAATCAAGACCACGACGAGGAAGCTGCACTTTACTTCTATTTCCCTTGATTATGAGAAATTCAAGACAGCGCATCCCTGCAAAGGCATCAGATTTCAATTGCATGTCCATTGATTCAGGCATGTCAAGGCATATGCCTTTAACTGCTTTCGTTCCCTACAATCAAAGACATACAATAAATGATTAATACAATGTTTCAACGAAACGTATGGAGACATGGTAAATGAATCATAGTGAGGTAAGCAAAGTTATTGACTACAGCTTTAACCTTTCTTTTCTTCAATACACGGTAGATATCCTCAGGATCAACCAGCCTGCTCCGTTTTCTAGGATTCTCAGATTCTTTACTAACGATACTACAAGCCATTGCTTGCAGCAAATCGTGCATCTCTAGTCTGTTGTCCATAAGTTGATGTCACCAGAGACCTCTCTATTAGGATGCTTATACTAGTATCGCATAGAAGAGGACTTCTTTTCTAATAATTCTTGTAACTTTGTCTCGATCCATCCCTCTAAAAAGCAAAGCAATATTAAGAAATATTTCTTTTTGCTCTTTATACAGCCCATCATAACTAATCTTCAACACATTTAGAATTTCAACATTCTGAATCTGTCCCAACCCATTCATTGCACTGTGCCAATCCTCTATGCTTCTGTCACAGAGAGAAGAACCCAAAACCACAAGAGCCAATGGATTTCCTTTTGCATAATTCACTATCCTCCCTAACAAATCTTTGTAATCACTGGTGGGATCAATTTTCTTGAAAGCTTTGGATTTAAGGAGTTGAATAGCTTCAATGTTGTTCAATGCCTCAACCCTATATGTTTCATCAACCACTCCATCTAACACATGCTTATCCCTACTTGCTACAAGAATTCTACTTCCGGGACCAAATGAATTATGTCCTTCGAGTAACAATCCTTGCAAAGGCATTGAACTATCTACATCATCAAAAACAATGAGAACCTTTTTGAGGCGTAGCCCATCTTTTATAAAATGATTTCCAAAACTCAAAGGACCCATATCCGAAATTTCTTGGTCTAATAGTATCGAAACAAAGCTTCTCTGCAAATCAACCACAGTGCGTCTTTCTAACTCTTCCCTGATGTTTGGAACAAAGACAAAGGCTTCAAATTCAGAACAAATTTTGTTGTATACTGCTCCAGCGATAGTTGTTTTACCTATACCACCCATTCCCCATATTCCTACAATCCGAACATCTTGCGACCCCATCTTCAACAAAGATTCAATTTCCCTTATGCGCTTATCAGTTCCCACAAGATTCATGGTGTGAATGGGGAACATTTTGCATAATTTATTGAAGATTTCTTTAACAATTTTCTCCACAAATTTAGACTCGGACCTACAAAAATAAGGAGCACGTACTAGTTAGTTTGAATGGAGGATTCTGGCTATGTAGTTTGGATTAACCAAATGTTGACATGTCCATCTTTTTTTTTTTATGCAACATTATTCTAATTTGACAAAGTAAAACACATATTAATATGAACACTTATATAGATAAAACCTGAAAAAAAAAAGAAGATTTCTTTTTTAATTTTTTAAAAATAACCTTAATAATAATGATAAATAAATAATTTATCATAACTACTTGAATTAATCTATTAATTCTCATCTTCACTATCTAAGGATTGAAGAAGTTTTAGGAACCTCTTAACCTGAAAAAATTAAGGAAAATCAAAGATTAAGAACTCAGTCCCTATCGTTTGAAAGTTCCCAATAAAGTTTTTACCAATTAATCTTACTAATTAACAAGAAAAAATTCTTCACATCAAAAAATTTCATCTAATGATCAAAAAGTTCACAAATTATTATTAAATTTGGTTACTCTCGTATACAAATTTAAATTCTAAATCTAGGTAGCAACTGAAAACTTAAAATATCTTATTTTCGGAAACATTAAAGTTTTAACTCCAAAGAATTTACCAGATGACCAATGAAATGCACTCTTCCTTTCATATATATATATATATATATATATAGTTTGATATTGATTACATTATTAATAAGAATTTAAAATATCTCATTGTCAGAAAAAAATATATAGCAAAAAAAGAAAAAAAACACTACATACATTCGACCCTTCAATGAAGCCCGTATTTGTTAGTTAAGGTCTCAAAAATCATTTTATATTAACTCATGATAAATATTAGAGAAAGCTTACTCTATATTTCGTACATTGTTTAAATGAAATAATTTGGTTAATAATAAAACAAAATAATTTTTTTAAATAAACAAAAATATATTTAATTTAAAAAAGTATGAAATTTTAAATTTAAAAATAACTAAAGATTAGAATTCTACATACTAATCCTAAAACAAAAATATAATTCTTGAATTTAAAAAAAAACAATCAAAATACATTGAATCTAGTTGATCAACGCTAAGTTAAAAACAATGATTTTTTTTTTTATAATTATGTCCACGTGGCATATATGGAAATATGGAAAATTATTTTGATGCCATGTGGACCTAATTGATCAACGCTAAGTCAAATAAGAGTGTGATATTAAATTAATGGAGTTCTGATGGACGAAAGGGGCACTGCAAGTTAAAGTAGAAGGACTAACATGGAACAAAATTGAGTTAATTTTGGTTAATATGATTAAAATAAGGTAGTAATATGAGTGGGCAAGCAGTGAATTTTTGGCCCCTCAAAACCAACAATAAATGAATGAATCCATATTTGGACATTAAAGAAAGCTTACCCAAACTTCCGTGAGTCATGCCCAGATATATTGGCCGCTTCCTTTAAAGCAGCTCTGTAGCACCGCTCTTCCTCCATCCCTAATGCTTTGCTCTGCACAAGTTCTGCAAATGCTTCTTCAAAGCTTCCACTTTGCTTTCTTACATCGGATGGATCGACCTGATAGAATATTGGAATAACGATCTGTCCTCTAAGTTTTCTGCTTTCAAGAATCTTCACAAGCTCATCTAAGCACCATTTGGAAGATGCATATAGTTGGGAAAAAATAATCACAGAAAGCTTGGAGCCTTCAATTGCTTTAACAAGTGAGTCGGAAATTTCGTCTCCTCGCTTTAGGTCGTCGTCTATGAAAGTCAGGATATTTTTCCTTTCCAAAGCAGCATTGAGGTGACTGGTAAAACCAACACGAGTGTCTTCTCCCCTAAAACTAAGGAAGACGTGATGTTTTCTTCCAAGTTTGGTGGTTGATGTAGAAGAAGATGAAGCCATATCAAAGAGAAAATAATTAAAACAGGGCACAGGGGTCTGATGCTGGTTGGACATTTTAAGTCTCAAGCGTAGGTATATATTGAGGTGGGTTTAAGATATGCTCTTAGCAGATCAGATGTTTCTGTTCACAAGTTGCTGAGAAAGAATGTTAGAAAGAGACTGGAAAAAATCTACTTGGAACGCTTTAAGAAATACTCAGCATATGATGAGAAGATTAGTGGAAATTTGATGGAAACTTCAACTAAGAACTCGTCGGCTAAGTCACCGACTTCATAAAGTTGGATTAAATTTGATGGAACATTCGTATTAATGATCAGCACATGGCTCCCACAGTGATATAGTAGAAGATTCAATGGTGGAAATTTCGACAAAGACTAGTGGGAATTTCACAACAGGCTTATAGTATTTTGCCGGGTGGGTATTTGAACATGCCTCCTCCTTTAGTGATACTTTTTCTCAAATTTGAAAGCTTGTAAGAAGGTTGGTGGAAATTGCACTAAAGTGATAAAAACTTGGAGCCTTACTTTTATGCTGTTTACATCCAACAACCATGTTGAATGATTTTCTCCAGATAATTACACAAAGTCCTAGCAAGTCTTTATATTAAAAAGAATTATTTTTTAAAAAATTAAATTTTCATTTATTACAAATAATTATTGGTTGTAGCGGGTTTGGTGTTTTTTTTTCCTTATATTATAAATAATCCTGAATTTTTTAATTTTATTTTTTTAGACTCAGTAATAAGGATGTTTTCAGATTAGTTTTTTTTCACATTTTGAGATTAATTATTCCACGTATATAGTCAAAGAGAACTCTCAAATGTATGATGTTGGATGGTTTACGAATAAATTATTAAAACTCTGAACATATTCTACACACCTATACTTATTAATAAACTGACTATCATTGTGCTTTCGAAAACAAATTTCATACTACATTGTAACACCTGATTGGTTAATGTTAAGTCAACTAATAGGGTTAGATCAAATAGAAGGATTGGTATGGACCAAGATTGAGTAAAAGGATTTATATGATTGAAATTTGATATTATATGAGCAAGCATTGATTTTTGCCGATAATTACAGGGTAAATGAGAAAGATGTTGAACTCATCAACGCATTGATTTTATTTTTTCAAATTTATTAGTTGCGATTCTACTCTAATTGGATTAGTTTCTCAACAATCAGAAATATGGGATACCTAGCTTGATGCCTAAAGAATGCCACCTTCCAAGAGCTTGTGAATATATAATAGGAACCTGCAAATGTAGTAAGAACAAATCTAGGTTTAAATAGAAGTATTTAACACAAAAATAATTTAAGCGAGAAAAACTGATGCTTATGCTTGCTAAGACTGACATATACACCATGTTCAAATTAAGAGAATTGGACTCTTCAATTGTTTTTTACAAGTGACAATGTCATTCAGGGTCATTATATTATCTATGGAAGTTAGAATGTTCAATTGTTTTTGCAAGTGACAAGGTCATTCTGAATTTTTTTTCATTCCAAAACATTATGGAGATTAAAGGTGAACATTGTTAAAAGTGTAAATTATTAGAAATATTGGGAGTTGTATTTTCATTTTTAGATAAATATGAGATTAAAGGTGAACATTACTCTCGGGTCTCCCTTTTGTATGAGATATTGGAGTACAATTTTTAATAAAATCATCCAAATTAAAAGAAAACTTAATCTTAATTAATGCATGAATTAATTTGTCCAAAAAACATTATTTCTTGTGGAAAAAAGAAAAAGAAAATATATCCTCCAATGAAAATGACAAGGTCAGGATGCACTGAATCCTATTGAGTGTTCTTTCCTGTTATATATTTGGATTAAAAAGGGGAAAGGAATGGAAGGACTTTCAAAGGTAAGTTAAAAAAAAAAAAAAAAAACTGAATTTTATGGTTTAAAATAAATGTCCCTCTAAGAACAAAATAAAGGATACGCATTGTAATCTTTGGTTATCAAGGATATGTATTGTATTTAAAAGAAATATATATATATATTTGAAACCCAAACAAAATGATAAATTTTTATTTAATTATAAATTAATCTTTTTAATTTTGCAAAAACAAATTAAATAATTATTTTAATTTTAAAAACTAAGTAATTAATCTCTATATTTTAAATTTATTTGTAATTTAATCTTTTTCTTTGAGCATGATCCATATTGATAGAAGAATTAACTAATTAATTTTTTTAAATTCGAAGGATTTTTAATTCATTTGGAAAATTAAAAAGACTAATTTATAATTTATTGGATAAAGTTGATATGCTTCAAATTGAACAATTGGATATTAATTAAAAAATTAAATATTTTGATTGGATAATTTATTTTGTATGAATCAATTTAAATTACTGGATCAACAATTAATGATCAATACACGAGTCCCACAGTGCTACGAATACTATGCCACAAGAAGATTCATTGCAATTTGATGGAAAATTCGACAAAGACTTTGACTTGGCATCAATCATATCGAATTTGATAAACTTTACGTTATTCAATTTGAACAATTGCCATTGGATCTTAAAATTCATGGCGTTTAGGACACTCATGAAGACCACGACAGTTATTCCATTTCAACCTTAATTAATAAATATTAAAAAACTGCCTTGCAAATCATGTACTGTTTAACCATGCTCTTTCTACCTCGCTTTATACTCTTTCTGTTTTAAAAAGATAATTTGTTTTACACTAACTGAGAAAATTAGTAATTATCATGTCATATTAGCATATTTTATTGTATTCTTTTAAATATTATTTTAAAAAAAATTGTATTTAGCTAATTCTTTTTATAAAATAAACTTGAACTAAAAGTATTTTAGAAAAATAAACTATTTAAAATTAATTTTAATCGGACAAGTATTTTAATATATATATAAATAAATAATCTTGCCAAACAGTCTATATGTCTAGATTCATCATAATCATTAAAGCAGAAGAAAAATATTTTCAAAATTAATAAACAAATACATTAATATTTAGTCAAAAGCAATTGTGATTTATTGATTTATTTAAAGTAACCAAACAGACTTACAATGACTTGTTCGGTGGGTTTTGAAGTTTTTAAGAAGCTTTGTGGAAATTTCACTAAAGTCATAAAAACTTGCTATCTACATCCTACAACCCTCAATTCAATGATAATTTTCACAAAGTCTTAGCAAGTCTTTATGTTAAAAATAATCTTGAATTTGAATGATATTCACAGTTAGTCTCATCACCCGAACCCTCACCAGAACTATCGGAATAGAGAGAGTAGAATTTTTCATTTTCTTTTAGGTTTTGGAGATGGGGCTTTTTAATGGGCCTGGAGATGGTTGCTTGCGATAGATGGTGAGGGATTTCTTCTTCTTGTGCGCGTGTGGATACTTAGTGTTTTAGATTTTCAAACTAGTTTTGTGTCAATATCCTTAGTGTTCACTTTTTAAATTAATTCGGCACTAGTTTTCTGGTGATAGGATGACATCAGGTTTTGGATCACATTATTGCTGTCATGGCTAGATAAAATTCTCTTTTCATTATGTAAATATAACTATTTAAATGGCAGGTCATCATCTACATCATTTTTTATTGATTTTTCTTAAACTTGTCCTTTCATCTCTATTAATCCACTTGCAATCCAAACAACCAATTGTCGTCTAGCATTAGCTCCGCATTCAAAACACACAAAAATTTTTGACATCCAGATCAGAATGATAAAAGATTTGATTTTTTTTTTCCTGTTAACTAAAATTTTTGAATACTTTTTATAATACATAAAAAGTAATTAGTGATATATACAATAGTTACTCTATAGGTTAATTTTAAAGAGAGAGATAGATACAAAAAAAAAAAGGAAACTACATCGATATCCATCAAAAGTGATAAGAAGATTTTCATGTCCACTTAAAATTTTTTTTATTTTCTCTTTCTGTCTCTCTCTCTCTCTCTCTTATGGTGTCTATCTCTCTCTTTAAAGCGAGCCCATATAGTAATTAATGAACATGTCATTAGTTATTCTTTGTCGATCATAAAATTTGATACATTTGATACAATCAATTTTTGATCTACGAGAACTATTAGATTGTTTTCACAAAGTGCTACATTTGATACATCATCCTCTTCAAATGGCCGAGAGGAAAGATCCAATCACCAGTTTCTTCACAAAGTGCTACATTAATTATAACTAAAATTTCTCTTTCATAACCAATTAATCTTAACAATCAATTTTTGATCTTTCTCGTGTTAGACCTGTGAGATTGTTTCGACAAAGTGCTACATTTGATACAAGCGAATATCATTGGACAACAACCCACAAGCCTATATCGGTGTGGCAGTCTGCAATTTGCTTGTTTTGAAATGTAAAACCCACTGAAAGCATTAGTCAGGGCCTAGTTCATGGGCTTAGTTAAATATCCTATGGGCTTTGAAATTCCTTCGTACACATATATTTACATAGTTGTTGATCTTTCTAAACCTACAAATGATATAGGCCCATTTCATCAACATCCTGCCACCCCCCAGCCATATATGGTTGTTGATTTGAATACCAAAATTATGATTATAATATAATTCGAATCTTTTTAATTGGGACTCTTAAGTTTTTGTTTTTTCAAGATCAATTATGAGAGAGATTGTTACAAGAAATGCTCTAGTACATTATAAATTTCATAAGTCCGAATAACAAAATTATGATTATAGAGAAATGCTGGAATAAAAAAAAAAAACAAGAAATCACCACTTTCATCATCACTCATTTTCATCAAATACAAGGTGGTCCCCACATCTTTTCACTTTGAGATCCTTATCCGGACCCGACTGGTCTATGTTGAATTCAAACGTAACTTCTGGAATTTTACTGAAATCACCACGGATCATGTTATTGCAAGATAAATACACACTGTAATCGACTAGCCTTTGATAGATCCGGCAGTTTAGTTAAACATCGAGAGTATCCGGCAATAGTTAGTCTGTTGTAACAATAAAAGTATAATTAGAGAATTACCGTACTGAACTTTGTAATTCATATATTTAGAAAGGTTTGTAAAATTTAAATCATATCTGTTGTCCACTCCAAAGTTTTTCAACCTTGCTGCGAGAAAAGTCAAACTCAACAAGGCTTTCAGCACAAAATTTTTGTGGCAAAGATCTTGAAGGGTATTTATCCCAGTGGAAATATCCCAGCATATTGGAATTCAAGACCACGGTAAGGAAGCTGCACTTTACTCAGGTTGCCCTTGATTATGAGAAATTCAAGACAGCGCATCCCTGTAAAGGCATCAGATTTCAATTGCATTTCCATTGATTCAGACATGTCAAGGTATATGCCTTTCACTGCTTTCGTTCCCTACAATCAAAGATAGACAATAAAATGATTAATACAATGTTTAAATGAGACGTACAGTGAATTAATACATGGTAAGCAAAGTTATTGACTATAGCTTTAACCTTTCTTTTCTTCAATACATGGTAGATATCCTCAGGATCAACCAGCCTGCTCCTTTTTCTAGGATTCTCAGATTCTTCACTAACAATACTATAACCCATTTCTTGCAGCAAATCATGCATCTCTAATGTGTTGTAAGAAGTCATTGTTATCAGAGACTTATCAATTAGAACGCTCATACAGTAATGCACTGAAGAGGACTTCTTTTCCAGCATTCTTGTAACATTGTACCGTTCCATCCCCCTGAGAAAACACGCAATATCAAGAAATATATTTCTTTGTTCTTTGTTCAGCCCATCAAAACTAATCCTCAACACATTTAGAATTGCAACATCCTGAACCAGTCCCAAACCATTCAGTGCACTGTACCAATCCTCTATGCTTCTGTCACAGAGAGCAGAACCCAAAACCACAAGAGCCAATGGATTTCCTTTTGCATAATTCACTATCCACCCTAACAAATCTTTGTGATCACTAATGGCATCAATTTTCTTGAAAGCTTTGGATTTAAGGAGTTGAAGAGCTTTAATATCATTCAATGCCTTAACCTCATATGTTGCATCAACCACTTGATCTAACACATGCTTATCCGTACTTGTTACAAGAATTCTACTTCCGGGACCAAATGAATCATGCCCGCCGAGTAACAATTCTTGCAAAGGCATTGAACTATCTACATCATCAAAAACAATCAGAACCTTTTTATGGCAAAGTCCATCTTTTATAAAATGATTTCCAAAACTCAAAGGACCCACATCCAGAATTTCTTGGTGTACTAGTCTAGAAACGAAGCTTCTCTGCAAATCAACTACTGTACATCTTTTTAACTTTTCCCTGATGTTTGGAACAAAGACAAAGGCTTCAAATTCAGAACAAATTTTGTCGTATACAGCTCCAGCGATAGTTGTTTCACCTATACCGCCCATTCCCCATATTCCTACAATACGAACATCTTGTGACTCCATCTTCAAAAGAGATTCAATTTTCCTTATGCGTTTATCAATTCCCAACACTCCGATTGCTGCTGAGTCCTCCATTATGAAAGCATTTACATCCAACTAACATGCACCGATCAAGAAAAGACTCTACAAGTCATATACTGTAGCGTTTCTTGGCAGATCTTTTGAGTTTCTTTGCATCATCCTGAAAGTACAGTTCAAAACAGGAACTCAAAATCTTCCACTGTGCAAAACAACTAAAAGCAGTTGGTATCTGACAATATACATGCATAAAAAGCGAAGTCCTTACATGGAATATAAACCCAATAGGGCCATTGTAATTAAGAAACTCCTTCCATTGTTTTCCAATGCTCAGCTGCAAGAAGAAAGTTCACCAGAGATTTATCCAATCAGCAAATTCGAGTAGTTAATTGACTTTATCTTCATGTAATTTATAACACTACAAGTTCCGCAGCCCTGAAAACAACTCATTCTGTTAAACCATTCAACTGTGATTTATTTCTCAAATAAACACAGTTTTCTATTACAGTTGCCACTATTTTTACAATCTTCTGCCGATGGCTGAATAAAGTTAAAAGCTTGAAGCCCTGAAAGCAAGAATAAAAGTTGACATTATTCAAAGATGATGCAGCTATCATGAGGCTCAACTATGTTTGTTCTATTCGTTTGATAACTGAATTTGACTGGGTCAGACTGCATCCATCAATTTGCTTTAAAGGCGAGCAAGTGAGCACCAATATGCAACCCCAAATGAAATGCAGAGGTAACCATTTGGGCACTTATGGGCAATCTTCATTAAAAATGTTATGCAGGCCAAAACCAACCACTCCCTGGACTGTAAGCAATCAAAATATGATGCTGGATTAGAACAATACATGAGAGCCAGCAACTACATGTTCCAACATGTAATAGCATCTAGTTTGTGATACCCAAACTATATAGCACTACCATATACCAATGAGCAAGTCATTGCTCTCACAATTGTCATGAGTATGAGAGACACTTCACGCAAATGTATCCGCAAACTTGAAAGCACCAATGCAGGGGGTTACTGATTTAGATTCACGAGCTTTATCCCAGGCCATTGACTAACTCATGATGATAAACAGCGACAGCTGCATCTTGATGACAATGTCATCACCAAGGAGGGCATATTTCAGAAATGATGCTGGGTTTCCTCCTCACCAGTTTAATTCTGGCTTTGATTTATCGTCACTAGTGCAGACCGCAAAGAGACACAAAGATCCAAGTAACTGCCACCTCCAAACAGAATTCTTCCTAAATGTGATTTTGTTTCCTTTATTTTGTCTTATTGGAAACCAATGGAAGTGTACATGGAAAATAAGGAATATCATGCTTGAAAGTAATGCATGATGGCATTTTATTGACAGAGAAAGAAGCTTAAGAAGAGATAATCCGTAGTAGTATCCACAAGAATGAAAAAGTTGCCAGTTCTATACCATCTCCATGAGGAATGCAAATCATTGCAATTTACGACCAAAAGCAAAGAGTCCCTTATATATGTACAATCATCTTTTTCTTTCCCTAGCACTTACCTGAGCAGCTTCATTTGAAGCATTCTTAGTCCAAAGAGCAATCCTTTCCTGCTTTCGCCTCACACTGACAGCTGCTCCACAAATTTCATCTCCATGATCAAGCTGCCCTCCAATCATTGCCAACAACTAACAAAAAGAAGTGAAAAAACAACATAAACAGCCAAGTAAAACCACAGTCGGGGCAAAAGCAATACTTCCATCTGAACAACATTGAAAAATACCGTCTTCAACCAAGAAGTATCAGATTTGCCAGATTTGCCTTCAGGAAAACATACAATCCACTTCCCTCCATTAACACAAACAGGGTCCTCCCAATTTGGCTCAATTTTATGTTTGAAGCAATAAAAGTCTGCTCCAACAGCCAGCTTGCTTGGGTGATACATATCATTTTAAACACTGAATGAAGCACAAAATATATCTTGTCAACACATTAATCAAAACTAATATCCATTACATCACTGACAAAACTAATAATACCAATAGAAAAAAAATAAATCGTAATGCAAGCAGCCAACTTAAACAGAAGGACATTAAAAAGCCAACAGCTAAAGATAACAACTTTCTCTAGTACAAGGAGTTCACTACAATTAGAGAGAAAAATCATTCACATTAATCACAAAGAAAGCAATGACAAAGTGAGAAAAAAAACCCCATAATTGGATGGATAATTACACAGGAAAATGAAGACATGCCATAGCAGCAGTTGTAGGGAAAGGAGGGGTCTTGCTTCCATAAATTTTTGCAAATACAATGATGCATATAGGAAATAATTACAGAATTAAACTGTGGGAAATGAGTGTCAAAAAATGACGGGGCCACCTCTTTGGGGGGGGAGAGTTGAAAAAAGGTCGTGGGGCCCACCAAAAGGAAAACAGAAAGCTAAAGAAAGAAGGAAAGAAAATTCGTTCTGCAGAAACTTTCGGCGGAGCCGCGTGTTGTTAAAGTGGCCAGATAAAATTCTCTTTACATCATCTTTGCTTACTTTTCTGAAGCTTCCTCTTTCATCTCTAGTAATTTACAAACAGTTTAAACGATCAACAATTATCATGTTCTTATAAATTATGATAGAAAACTTCAGATGATCAAAGGAAAGAATCTTATGTTAGAAAGAGTTTTAACTGTCTTAATACACTTATTATTTATTTTAACAAAGGCAGAGAATTTTCCGCTTCATATATATATATATATATCTTAAATTTTTGGTTAACAAGAAAAAAAATCTCAATTTTTTAAATTTTGATTTAAGTTTTCAATTTTTTTGTCTACAAATTAAATTTTTTCGTCCAGTTAAAAAATTTGAGGTCACTCCTAGTATAATTAATCTAATAGAATTTGAACTCGTGATTTTTAAGAAATCATTATAACTGAAATATAAAAATTCAAATGAAAAAAGATTAAAGACATTTTTTTTACTAAAAGTTTAATTAGGATATTTTATAATGAATAAACCTTAACAATTTCTCATCTACTGTACAAGGTCTGTTAGATTTTTTCACAAAATGCTACAGTTGATACATCATCCTCTTCAAATGGCTACATCGCTTCATGGAAGTTCCAAGGTCTGTTTTGCAAGGCAGCTTCTCTCCTGAGAGGCTGAAACTTCCAAGGTTTTCTCTTGCCTATCGAGCATCTAATTGATAAATAATTTAAATTCAATTGCTAAAGGGCACTAAATCACTACAGATATCCTGCTACGAACTAACACTAAAGAAATGGCCAACGTCCATGAAATCAACTGTCCTAAATTTTCCAGTTTGCTCTGAACAACATCCTCGAGGAAAAATAAAAGGTCACAAAGTGTACATAGGCATTATTGTCTAGCGAGATCATCTTCTCAGTTAGTTCAGATCCAAATGATGTCATTTGCTAGCAGGTAATATATATTGAAATTAGCATAATTATACAGATCATAAAATTTATCGAAAGGTGCAGTCCGTACAATTTCATTCACGGGTCCTTCTTCGTATGCGAGTTTCCTGACAAGTACTAGTTGACTATACTATACTCCACTAGCGTAGAGAGGACTTGGAAGACAAACTGCATCGCTTAGGCTGATGTTGAGAGTCATCCAAATTGCTACATCGCTTCAGGTAACTGCTTCGCTTCATGTGATGATAGGACATATCTATCGTAACAATTGTCAATGACAATCAAAAATAAAATAACTAATAAAAAAAAGAGAAAATTGAACTATTGTTATCGAAAATCGTTATCAAGAACCACAGGAAAAATCATTCTGTTTCAAAGCTCACGTCGGTGGAGCTACATAGAAAATGACTAATTGATGGTTGATTATTTATCCCAAAACTGCAAAATAATTGAGTTCGCAAAACCAGAACCAAAATAACGCTTTTCAGAGAGCAATTATTGTTAATTTCTTAATGAGGTACTTGGTAAGCACAATTGCCAACGACAGCAAATTTGTCTCCAAAATCCTCTAGAAAGACAGAATATAGAAGAGTATAAAATGTTACCATCTATAGATAGCATTTATTTTGATATAACTGCTGTATATTTGCTTATATTGTACAGCTATAATTAGAGGTAAATCAGCCTATAATATTACCGATAATCACTACTTAGATTGTACAGCTATAGCTTGAGGCAAATTAGCCTATAATCACTCCGTACTCATCTATTTATTGGAATGAAAGAGAAGAGAAAGGCATGTGGTATTCAACCAAAATTCTCTCTTTTTGTCAAGCTTTTCATGGTATCAAAGCCACTCATTTAAAAGTGTGAAATATTCTTTTCGAGAGGTTGTTCTTGGTTTGTTCGAGTTCTTGGTATATCATCTCGGTGTTGCCTTTTGGATTTCGGGTGCTATTTTTCAGTATCTTGTGGAAGCATTTTGGTATTTTTTTCTTCTCTGTTTTGGTATTTCGTGTGGTCGCTTCGAAATTTCTTGTTTCTTTGTGATCTGCTTTCGTTTTTTTTTTTTTAAACTTTCAAATGGTCGATGGCAAATCCGATTCGAATTTTGTGTTAAGTTCACTCGGAAAGAATTATGCAACATGGGAATTTCAATTCCAATTGTATGTTACTGGAAAGGAGATACGGGGACATATCGATGGGACTCGTTCCAGCTCCAAAAGATGCTACTCAACTAGCTCAATGGAAAATTAAAGATGCTCGAGTGATGTCCTAGATTACGAGTTCTTGTGATTCTCAAATTGTTCTTAATTTGCGCCCATATAAAACTGCTAAAGCTATGTGGGAATATCTCGAAAAGGTTTATTATCAAAGGAACTCGACTAGAAGATTTCAATTGGAGTGTGAGATTGCAAATTACACTCGAGAAAGTCGATCTATTCGAGAGTATTTTTCTAGTTTTCAAAATTTATGGATTGAATTTTTCGACATCGTTTGTGCTACTATGTCCCAAGATTCTCTCTCTAATATATTGGTTGTTCATGAAGTTAGCAAGCGTGATCAATTTCCGATGAAATTGAGATCAAATTTTGAGAATTCTCGCTCTAATCTAATGAATCGTCATCCTCCTCCTACTTTGGATGAGTGCTTTGGTGAATTGATTCGTGAAGAATAACGACTTCTTACACAAGCACATCTTGAACATGAGAAGTTTACTACAATACTAATGGCTTTTGTGGCTCAATCAAGAGGCAAAGGTAAAGACATGAGCAAGGTTCAATGCTTTAGTTGGAAGAATTATGGTCATATAATCGCAAATTGTACCCGTAAATTTTGCAATTACTCGCAAAAGATCGGGGCACATCATCAAAGATTGTGGGATTCGTCCCCAAAATCGCCAACACAATGCTTTTCAAGCCACTACAACTACTTTACCTACATCAACAACCAATCGAATGTCTGAACCAACAGTCCTTACCCCTGCAATGGTTCAACAAATGATTCTTTTCGCTTTTTCAGCTTTGGGGATTCAAGATAATGATAATCCATCCTCTACAACTTGGCTGATTGATTTTGCAGCATCAAATCATATGACTCGGTTAAGCTAATTTGCTGCAAAATGTCCATCCATATCTTGGTTCGAATATATTCGAGTTGCTAATGGAAATACTCTACCTATTACTGCTCGTTGGAGATATTCCTTCGGCTTTTGACAATGCTTTTATATCACCTGGACTCTCTAATAATCTCCTTTCTGTTGGACAACTAGTGGAAAATAATTGTAATGTCTATTTTTTTGTGATGTTTGTTATGTGCGGGATCAAGTGTCGGGACAAGTGATCGCGAAGGGGCCTAAAGTAGGACGTTTGTTTCCATTATATGTCTCTATTTCGAGTAATGTTATTTCAGCTTGTTCTACTATTTTCAATAAGAGTGAAGTATGGCATAAACGTTTGGGCTATCCTAATTCTACTATATTGTCTTATTTGTTAAACTCGAGCTTTTGGGTAATACTGATCAATTGTGTTCTTCTCGTCTTTCCTTTGATTGTTCAACTTGTAAATTAGGAAAAAGTAAAAGTCTTCCTTTTCTTGTTGTTGGTAGTCGTGCAACAAAATACTTTGATATTATTCATAGTGATGTATGGGAAATTTCACTAGTTATTTCTCATGAACATTATAAGTATTTTGTGACATTTATTGATGATTATAGTCGCTTCACTTGGATTTATTTTCTTCGTTCTAAATCTAAGGTTTTTTCCATTTTTAAGACTTTCCTCTAATATGTTGAAACTCAATTTTTTACTGTTATCAAAATCCTTAGATCGGATTTTGGTGGAGAATACATGTCTAAAGCATTTCATGAATTTTTAAATCAAAAAGGTATTCTCTCACAACGTTCTTATCCGTATACGCCTTAACAAAATGGTTTGGTGGAACGAAAGAATCGTCATCTCTTAGAAGTAACCCGAACTTTGTTACTTGAATCTTCGAGTTCCATCTACTTTTTAGGTTGAAGCTTTATCTACGACTGTTTATCTCATTAATAGGTTGCCTTCTAAAACTCTACATCTTGATTCTCCTTATTATCGTCTTCATCGTCAACATCCCGACTATTGGCATTTGTACACGTTTGGATGTGTGTGTTTTGTTCATTTGCCTCCTTATGAACACCATAAACTTTCTCGCTCAATCTATTAAATGTGCATTTATGGGATATAGCTTTAGCCATAAAGGTTTTGTTTGTTATGATCTTAGTTCCAAGAAACTTCGAGTTTCTCACAATGTTGTTTTCTTTGAAAATCAATTTTTCTTCCCAACTCATGTTCCATCGTCACTCGAAGTTGCTATTCTTCCCGGTTTTGATGACTTGTCTTCCTCTATTGAACGGTTCAAGCTCGGACTTGTGTACAACCGACGTTCTTCGCTATCGCCCCTTCCCGATCCGGAACCGCCATTCGATCCAGCCTCACATGTTGTGAGACGATCCACTAGAATTTCTTATCCTCCAAATAGGTATGACTCTTATCATACATCATTTATCGTTACTTTATCCTCTAGTTTGGTCCTATCTTCTTACTCACAAACAGCTAAGCATGAATGCTAGCAAAATGTAATGAAAGAGGAGCTTCGAGCTCTTCAAGACAATCAAACTTGGGAAATTATCCCATGTCCACCTACGATCAAGCCTATTAGGTGTAAATGGGTTTACTCAGTGAAACTTCACTCGATGGGACCCTAGAACGCTATAAGGCCAGATTGATTGCTCTTGGTAATCATCAAGAATATGGGATTAACTATGAGGAGACATTTGCTCTTGTTGCTAAAATGACTATAGTGCGTACTCGTTCTTGCTATTGTTGGTTTTTAGGGGTGTCAACTTCAACGGATGGATGTAAAAAATGCTTTCCTCCATGGTGACCTCAAAGAGGACATATACATGACGCCTCCTCCTGGTTTGTTTTACTCTTCTACTTTGGAAGTTTGTAAGTTGAAACATTCATTGTATGGCTTAAAACAAGCTCCTCGAGCTTGGTTTGAGAAGTTTCGATCTACTTTGCTTCGGTTTCAATTTGTACAAAGTCAATATGACTCTTCGTTGTTTCTTCATAAAACTTCTATGGGAATTGTCCTTCTTTTAGTCTATGTTGATGATATTGTTATCACTGGAACAGACACTTTATTGATCAGTCAACTTCAACAAGCACCTTTATGATTATTTTCATATCGAAGGATCTTAGATAACTTACTTATTTCTTGGGCTTGGAAGTTCATACCGACTCTTCCGGAATATTTTTACATAAGCATAAATACACTCAAGATTTGGTTACTTTAGCTGGTCTCCGGGATTCTTCTTCGTTGATACTCCTCTAGAAGTGAATGTCAAGTATCATATTGAAGAGGGAGAATTACTTTTTGATCCTTTATTGTATCGATAATTAGTTAGTAGCTCGAACTACCTAACTATTACTAGGTCGGACATCTCCTTTACGATACAACAAGTTAGTCAGCTTCTACACTCTCCAAGACATCTACATTTGGTCGTTGTTTGTCGCATCATTCGCTATCCGAAAGGTACTTCTTCTCGTGGTTTATTCTTTCCTGCTGGATCTCCTATGAAACTTGTTACCTTTAATGATGCCGATTGGGTCGCTTGTCCTAATATCCGTCGCTCCGTCACTCTGGTTGGTGCATGTTTCTTGGAAATTGTTTGATATCTTGAAAGAGTAAGAAACAAGATCGTGTCTCCAAATCTTCCATCGAATCCGAATATCGTGCCATGTCCGTTGCATGTTTTGAGATCACTTGGCTTCGAGGATTGCTAACCGAGCTTGGGTTTCATCAATATGATTTTACTCCTCTTCATGCCGATAACACCAGTGTCATTCAAATTGCTACTAATCCAAGTATACCATGAGCGTACCAAACATATTGAAGTGGATTGTCATTATATTCGAGAAGTTGTGAATACTTGTGTTGTTTCTCTTCCTCATGTTTCTACTCGCCTTATAGATAGCCGATGTGTTTACAAAAGCTCTCTCTCGACAACGTCACCAATTCCTTGTTAACAAATTGATGCTTCTTGACCGATCAACATCAATTTGAAGGGGATGTTACCATATATAGATAACATTTATTTTGATATAATCGTTGTATATTTGCTTATATTGTACAGCTATAATTAGAGGTAAATCAGCCTATAATATTGTCGATAATCACTACTTAGATTGTACAGACTATAGCTTGAGGCAAATTAGCCTATAATCACTCCGTACTCATCTATTTATTGGAATGAAAGAGAAGAGAAAGGCATGCGGTATTCAACCAAAATTCTCTCTTTTTGTCAAGCTTTTCATAAAGTACTCGCTTCTTGGTTATCGACTTGCTTCATTGCTTTCCCGATTATTGTTGAATGCTCAAAGGTCATGAATCAACCATAAAAGTAAATCAAGAATTCCAAATGAAAAAATTATATGGACAATATAACCAAGTTTGTCTCTTAAAATGATGAATGAGTATCCAAGGGCATCAACTAATTTCTTAAATATTTACAACACCACACAAAGGAAAACCATCCGGAACGAGTCATCTCTTTCGATTGCTAATTCAAAATCTCGGATACAATATCCAAAAGATAAGCTACTTATACTACCATTGAGCACATATCCCACATTGAATAATTAAACTAAAGATGATTAATATATAAACTTGATAAAGAACCACTCATCACAAGACTTAAGTATTTTGGATGGAATCCAATCTCAACTAATTAATTTTATAACTCGTTTTTTGCATTTTCAAAATTACCAATACAATATAATCTTGGAAAGAAGCAACTTCAGCCAACTTTCAAAATTACCAACACCATATAATCTTGGAAAGAGTTGAGGGAAGTGAATTTCCTCCAAACAAATCATTTAAAGAAGTAACTTCAGCTAACTTTCTCCAAAATCAACAAGCACAGGTCATCGGACACCGATGATCGAAACTCCCTAAACTCCGGACTTTTCCTCCAAATAGCTTCATGAATTTCTTTTCCACCTCGAGACATTTGCCAAAACCTGTAACCTCATACAAATAATCCCACAATCTATCAGAATAACCAACCCATTTAGACTCTAAAACAGTCGAAAAATTGCAAATGATAACTAAGTCCATGATTTCTTTTAATCATCCCCATTTTCATAATCTAAAACTTTAAAGGAAGAATTCATATATGTTAATTAACAAAAATAAAGTGTTAATATGTGTGTATTTTACCTACGAGACTGAGCGTTTCGCAATATACAATGAAGAAATGCAATAAAATTTTCAAAATGCAAAAAGAATACATGCTTGATCCATTGGGAAAAATAGCTGTAATGAAAAAATAAGGAAAACCAAGAGTTAAATTCTCAAATATAACTTGTCAATTTCAATATCTTACTCGAAACTTCATCCAGAAATGATTGTTACAAGAAAAGACTCCACGAGTGCATGACTATGAATAACCATAGCAATATTGTAGGTATCAGAAACAATCAATAATCATGATCACCTTTTCGTCGTCTCTCAAATCCTCATAAAAAAAAATGCTTTGCTTGGCCAATGTTGTAGGAATTTGAATGATATTCATAGTTAGTCTCATCCCTCGAACCCTCACCAGAACTGCTGGAATAGAGAGAGTAGAAATCACCACTTTCATCATCACTCATCTTCAACAGAAATGCCAGGTGAATCTGGATTTTCATCAAATACAAGACGGACCCCACACCTTTTCACCGTGTACTCCCTTTTAATACCAAAAGGCCCTATTGCGTTAAATTCAAACGTTAACTTCATGGCCAGAATATTTGCTGAAATTACCAAGCCTTCTGTTATCGTAACATAAATACATGTGATCCAACTCTTGGAATTTCAAATTCAGGAAGAAACTCATGCTGCAAATGAGATCATCGTGTTCACAGTCATTGATTTTGGCCTGCCAACACAATTGGAGATGGTATAGGTCGTCTGGTTTGTATAGGTCGTGTGGGCTGTATGGGTCAACAACGACCAAGCAGAAAGCAAATGCTTTGAGCTTAGTAGGGTTTGAGGGAAACTGTATGGTTATTGAAGATCCCGTACTTTGATCACTGAACAATTCTGGAATTTTACTTCCGGGTAAAACCATTTCAAAATGGTTTAGCGCCTTTCCAAACTGTAATGATATTCATTATTAGAATAAGTAAATTAATATAACCAAACTGAGATAGAGAAGAGAGAGTCACCTCTATTTTCGATTGCATGTCTGCCATCAGTGCCTTCTGATCAATTTTGAAGCAATTTGCAAAACTTAATTGACTCCCAGCTGAATTGCCTAAAGTGCTGCTTGAAATGATTTCTAGTGATTCACAGTTATTAGCTGTTAGATATTGCAAGGATGGTGGAAGCTCTGATAGCTCTTTAATGAGTGTGCCATCTAAATACAGAAAAAGCAAAGATTTCAGATGCCTAATTGATGAGGGTAGCTCTCTAATAGCTGTTTCTTTCAAACTAAGTCCTTTCAAAGATTCCATAGGCTCCATAATTTCTGGGAAACTTTCAAGTTTTGAGCAACCTGATATATACAGATATTCAAGAGATTTCAATTTACAGATGCTGCTTGGGAGTCTAGAGAGCTTCTTGCAGTTATTCATATTTAGTCGTTGGAGATTTGCTAAAAACTCGATTGATGAAGGCACCTCTTCGATAGAAGTCCCATCCAAATATAATGAGTTTATATTTGCTGAAATCTCTGGACTCTTCTTGATATTTGAGCAATTGGTTAATGAAAGACTTTTGATATTATTTGAATCAAGCCTCCTTGGAAAACACTGAAGATTATAACAACCATGGCGAATTAGGGATTCCAGGTGCTCAAAATATTCAAAGGATGATGGAACCTCCGTTAAACTACCGCAGAACTGAAGATCTACATACTGTAATTGTTCAGCCTTTGATAGACCTGGAACTTTAGTCAAGCATGGAGAGTAACTGAGGTTGATTCTTCTTAAATTCTCGAAATTCTGTTGCAAAATTAAAAGTCTAATTAGGGAATTACAGTCTTGAATTTATAATTCATATATATATAAATGTTTGTGGAAGTTAAATCATACCTGCTGTCCACTCCAAAGTTCTTCAACCTTGCTCCAAGAAAAGTCCAATTCAACAAGGTTTTCAGCACAAAACTTTTGTGGCAAAGATCTCGAAGGGTATCCATCCCAGCGGAAATATCTAAGCATATTGGAAAGATATTCGAGGCCACAGTGAGGAAGCTGCACTTTAGCTTTATTTCCCTTGATTATGAGAAATTCAAGACAGCGCATCCATGCAAAGGCATCAGATTTCAATTGCATTTCCCTTGATGTAGACATGTCAAGGCATATGCCTTTAATTGCTTTCGTTCCCTAAAATCAAGGACAGAGGACAAATGATTAATACAACATTTCAATAAATGTCTCACATGAGGAAAACTAAGTTCATGATTATAGCTTTAACCTTTCTTTTTTTCAATACATGATAGATATCCTCAGGATCAACCAGCCTGCTGCGTTTTCTAGGATTTTCAGATTCTTCACTAACAATACTATAAGCCATTTCTTGTAGTAAATCATGCATCCATAGTTTGTTGTTTGAAGCGGTTACCAGAGACTTATCAATGAGAACGCTTATACAGTAATGCACTGAAGAGGACTTCTTTTCTAATATTGTTGTAACATTGTATCGGTCCATCCCTCTAAAAAAACATGCAATATCAAGAAACATACATCTTTGCTCTTTATTCAACCCATCATAACTAATCCTCAGCACATTTTGAATATCAACATTCTGAACCTGTCCCAATCCATTTACTGCACTGTACCAATCCTCTTTGCTTCTGTCACGGAGAGCAGAACCCAAAACCACAAGAGCCAATGGATTTCCTTTTGCATAATTCACCATCCTCTCTAATAAATCTTTGTGATCACTAGTGGGATCAACTTTCTTGAAAGCCTTGGATATAAGGAGATGAAGAGCTTCAATGTTGTTCAATGCCTCAACCCCATATGTTGCATCAACCTCTTGATCTAACACATGTTGATCCCTACTTGTTATGAGAATTCTACTTCCAGGACCAAATGAATCATGTTGTCCGAGTAACAATTCTTGCAAAGGCATTGAACTATCTACATCGTCAAGAACAATGAGAAATTTTTTATGGCGAAGCCCATCGTTTATAAAATGATTTTCAAAACTCAAAGGGCCCATATCCAGAATTTCTTGCTCTAATAGTCTCGAAACAAAGTTTCTTTGCAAATCAACCACTGTTCGTCTTTTTAACTCTTCCCTAATGTTTGGAACAAAGACAAAGGCTTCAAATTCAGAACAAATTTTGTTGTATACAGCTCCTGCGATAGTTGTTTTACCTATACCACCCATTCCCCATATTCCTACAATCCGAACGTCTTGTGACTCCATCTCCAAAAGAGATTCAATTTTTCTTATGCGCTCATCAATTCCCACAAGATTCGTTGGGTGAATGGGAAACATTTTGCACAATCTATTGAAGACATCTCTAACAATTTCCTCGATAAATTTAGACTCGGATCTACAAAAATAAGGAATGCGTACTTGTTAGTTGGAATGAATGATTTTGGCTATGGAGTTTGGATTAAAATGATGACATGTAGAGCCTTCTTATTATGTGATATTATTCTAATTTGACAATGTAAAAACACATGTTAACATGAAAACTTATATATATATATATAAACCTCTAAAAAATAATAAAGATATATTTTTTTAATTTTACTTAGATAATGTTAATGATAATGATAATGATAAATAATTTATCATAACTACTGGAATTGTTATGAAAGGGGAAAAAAAGAAAAAAAAAACAAACCAAATTAACACTCTATAACTAATTATTTGCAATAGAAGAAAAACAGATCGAAGAAAATAATTCAATCAGGATTATTTGTAATAAAAGGGGAAAAAGGAAATCAAATCCGCTATAACTAATTATCTCTAAAAAAAGAGAAAAAAAATCAAAAAAGAAATAAAATTATTTTATTTATTTGTTTAATCCAAAAATTATTTTCATGCCGGTAGCAACACCTAATTTATCAACGCTAAATCAGCTAATGATATAATCTCAAACAAACAGAGTTCTATAACATAAATGACGGTAGAGTTAGGGCATTCTATAAGTTAAAGTAGAAGGACTGATATGAAACAAAATTAAGTAGAAAGGTTATTGTTATTAAAATTGGATAATACGTACAAGGGCATGCAGTGATTTTTTTGCCAACCAAAATTCTTAGTAAATGCATGAATCCATATTGGACATTAAAGAAAGCTTACTCAATCTTCCGCGAGTCATGACCAGATATATTGGCAGCTTCGTTCAAAGCAGCTCTGAAGCACCGCTCTTCCTCGATCTCCAAAGCCTTCCTCTTCACAAGTTCTGCAAATGCATCTCCGAAGCATCCACTTCGCTTTCTTACATCAGATGGATCAACCTGATAGAATACTGGAATAGCTATCTGCCCTCTAATTTTTCTGCATTCAAGAATCTTCACAAGCTCATCTAAGCACCATTTGGAAGATGCATATTGTGGGGAAAAAATAATAACAGAAAGCATGGAATCTTCAATTGCTTTTACAAGTGAGTCGGAAATTTCTTCCCCTCGCTTTAGGTCGTCATCTATGAAAGTTAGGATATTTTTCCTTTCCAGAGCAGCATGGAGGTGACTGGTAAAACCAACACGAGTGTCTTCTCCCCTAAAACTAAGGAAGACGTGATGTTTGCTTCGAAGTTTGGTGGTTGATGTAGAAGAAGAACGAGCCATATTAAAGGAAGGAAATAAATAAAACAGGGCACAGGGTTCTGTTTCTGTAGGGATATTAAAGGGAAGAAAAGAGATTTCAAGTCTCAAGAGTAGGCATATATTGGGGTTGGTTTTAACAGATCAGAGTTTCTGATCGTATTCTTGACGGTTGGAAGCACAAGTTACAGAGAAAAAGTGTTTGAAAGAGAAGGAAAAAATCTACTTCGGACGCTTTAAGAAATACATTGCATTGCCGTTGACTTTTTTAATAAGACAAAAAACAAGATTTGGTTCGAAGTTTGTGGATTATCGTTTTACAATTTCAAAGAGTGCTAAGATTGTATCAAGATTTGGTCTAATCTTTTTATAAATCGGCAAGTTATCACATAGTCTAAGCTTCGCTTGGGCTTTTTGAAATAGAATGTTAATGCTTCGCTTTTTAAGTAAATTTGAGATTCCTATATTCAAATTGAGTTAAAAAATTAAAAAATAATTAGTGTAAATTACTTTATAATGGAATATAAATAAAAAAATTAATTATTATTATATATTTATATTAATTGTTTTTTAAATATTGTAAAATTTCTAAAAAATGTTGACTGGACATTCATATTCGGATATTCATATTCTCATGAATGTAGTCTTGGACTAAGAAATTTTTTACCATTAAAAAAAGAAGAAGAGTAGACGGCATGTTTGTTGTCCTTTCCCAAGTGAGATTTCAGCGATAAACAATTCCAATTATCCTTGAATAATTGGATGGAAATTTCAACCAAGGCCTTTTCTTTTGTAGATTATCATAAAGCTAAAATGTACTTGATAAATTACAAATTAAACTTTCTAAATTTGTAAAAATAATTCCTTTGGTTTTAAAAACTAATTAATTAGTCCCTATAATTTTAAATTTATTTATAACTTAATGTTTTTCATTAAGCATAATCAATAAAAATTAATTAAATAGTTTTAAAACTTTAGGAATTTTTAATTTATTTGACAAGCTAAAAAGATTAATTTATAATTTACTCGATAAAATTCATATACTTATGATTAAATAATTGGATATGAATTTTAAAAAAAATGTATAATTTGATTGACGTTACAATTGTGTGATAAATTAAGACTCCATATAAAATTCGATTTGATAAACACAGGTCTTTATGGAATTGTTTTTTAATTTCTTAAACAATTGGATAAGAATTAGGTAAAAGTTGCTTCTATGAACACATTTCCTATTCACTTCATTCACAACTTCCATAAGAAATTAGCATTGATCAGAATAATTAACCAATGGGCAAATCTACCTTCTTTTTCTATGTATTGGAGAGTAAGGACCAAACATATTCTTTGACCAATTTATTAACAAAAGCCAAGTGGTTTCATGATTCTATATATAGTGAGTAGAAAATAAAGAAAGTTATAGATGACTGCTGGATCCTTGGCTGAATGGATTTTCTGAATGTTGGGAGTTTGAACAGATGATTTATTAGGAATGGCTAGATAATATTTAATTAACGAAATTCTCGGAGAATGTTTCTCAATATTCAGTTGGAAACTATGTGATCTGAGGTTGATTCTACAATTGCAAGTATTATATATATATATATATATATATGGGACATTTTGTTTTTAAATCAATTAAGTCTACTATTATTTGGACTAGGTCAGTATTAAATTATGTTTAGTTTTTGATTGATTTTAAAAATTGGATTCTTTGAACGCATTAATGATTAATTCATGTTAATTTAATGCTGAACAAAAGAAATAGATGAATTTTTAAACGATGAGGCACTCTTTATCAACCTTCAGCGACCACAAGTATTAGTTTCTATAACATTCTACGATCTAATCCCATAGTTGTGTCACGGTTTCAGATTTGTTATGTCCGCATAGTTCCTTTTCACTTGTTCTTAATGCCCGCATCATTCTTCATTGGCTAGTGTTTCAAGAAGAATGATTCAATGCATATAAATTGATCAGACTTTCTTCAAGAGTATAACGTGAAGCATTTTGTTGAATATCCAAATCATTAGATCAAATTTAAATGTTAAGGATTTTATTAATAAGTTTTTGTTGGTTGGAATTTTTTTAAATGAATGGTAGTTATCAATAAATTAAAACCATGGATTTCAAATGAAATATAATAAAATAAAATAAAATGACTTAGTTTGTCGATATATAATGAAGTGAGTTTCCAATTTGATCTTATATTTTTAATTGAGTTAAGTTTGTCATTATAAAATAAATTAGTTTTCAATATATCATATTATTAACCAATGTATCATTCTGATAACCTTTTTTCATATAGACTAACATAATCAGTCATGGACATAACTTGTTCTGTTTATCGCTTGCTTTGCATATAATAGACAATGTTCATAAAGCTTGGGTGAGATTTAAACCCAATCCCTTCGAGTCCATGATACTCTGTTCGAAAGGGGTGAAAGTGGAGAGAATGAAGAGGAAGGGAATGAAAATGAAAGGAATATAAAATTTTGAGGGACTGTAATTAACTCTCCCCTAGTTTGGATGGCATGAAGAGTAAAAGTATTTTTTATTGTTTGGAAATAAAAGGAAGATAAAAAATAAAAAAAAAAAAAAAAGCATACTAATTAATAATAAAATGCCCACGATTTAGTCAATGATTGATGATTGTTGCAAGAAATACTCAGTACATTACAAATCTCATAAATCTAAATAGCAAATCATCATCCGAACCCTAACCAGAAGTGCTGGAATGGAGAGAGTAGAAAGCACCACTTTCATCATCAATCATCTTCATAAGAACTAGAGAGAGGATCTGGATTTTCATCAAATACAAGATGGACCCCACATTTCATCCTCAAGTGACTTGCAATAAAACAGCCATCCACTTCTATGTTGAAGTCAAACGTAACTTCATGGCCAAAATATTTACCGAAATCAACGGGCCTTTTGTTATCGTACCATAAATGCATGTGATCCAACCCAGACAACTTCCTGAAGAAAAACCAATCAGAACTCAAATATAAGTCACTAAAGTATGGTCTTGGGCTGCAAATGACATCATCATGCTCATCATCATTAATTTTCGGCTGCCAACACAATCGGAGGCGGTATGCTTCCCATGAGCTAGCAAAGACCAAGCAGAAAGCAATTGCTTTGAGCTTAGGAGGGTTTAAGGGAAACTGAATGGTTATTGAAGATCCCGTACTTTGATCACTGAACCATTGTGGAATTTCACTTCCGGGGAAAACCATTCTAAAAGAGTTTCGGGCCTTTCCAAACTGTAAGATAGAAAGGATATTAATTATTAGAATAAGTAAATTAATATGACCAAACATAAGATAGAGAAAGAAAGAGTCACCTGAATTTTCAATTGCATGTCTTCCATCAATGCCTTCTGATCCAATTTGAAGCGATTTGAAAAGTCTAATTCAAGCTTTGAATCGCCTAAAGTGCTGCTTGATATGAATTCTAGTGATACACAGTTATTAGCTGATAGATATGTCAAGGATGGTGGAAGCTCTGGTAGCTCTTTAATGAGTGTGCCATCTAAATTCAGAAAATACAAAGATTTCAGATGCCTAATTGATGAGGGTAGCTCTTTAATTGTGGTTTTACTCAAAGCAAGTCCCATCAAAGATTCCATAGGCTCCATAATTTCTGGGAAGCTTTCAAGTTTTGAGCAACTTGATATATCCAGATATTGAAGAGATTTTAATTTACAAATGCTGCTTGGGAGCCTAGAGAGTTTTTTGCAATTCTGCAAATATAGTTGCCGGAGATCTGTAAGAAACTGGATCGATGAATGCACCTCGTCGATAGAAGTCCTATCCAGATATAAGTATTTAACATTTCCTGAAATCTCTGGAAATTTAGTGATATTTGAGCAACCCGATAGAGAAAGCTCTCCCCCCGACCACCAAAAGATTGCTGAAGTTCTTCTATTGCAGTCCCACTTAGAAATAAACGTTCCATAGCCGTTGAAATCTGTGGACTCTTCTTGATATTTGGGCAATCTCTTAATGAAAGCCTTTTGATTTTATTCGAATCAATTCTCCTTGGGAAACACTGAAGATTATAACAAAGAGCGAGAAATAGGCCTTCCAGGTTCTCAAAATATTGAAAGTATGATGGAACCTCTATTAAACTAATGCAATCATCAAGATCTACATAATGTAATTGGTTAGCCTTTGATAGATCTGGCAATTTAGTCAAACAACGAGAGTAGCTGAGGTTGATTCTTCTTAAATTCACAAGATTCTGTTGTAAAATTAAAAGTATAATTAGAGAATTACCGTATTGAACTTTATAATTCATATATATAGAAATTTTGCGGAATTTAAATCATACCTGTTGTCCACTCCAAAGTTTTTCAACCTGGCTGCCGGAAAAGTCAAGCTCAACAAGGTTTTCAGCACAAAAATTTTGTGGCCAAGATCTCGAAGGGTATCTATCCCTGCGGAAATATCTAAGCAGATTGGGAAGATATTCAAGACCACAGTGAGGAAGCTGCACTTTGCTTGTGTTGCCCTTGATTATAAGAAATTCAAGACAACGCATCCCTGCAAAGGCATCAGATTTAATTGGATTTCCCTTGATTTAGAGATGTCAAGGCATATGCCTTTAACTGCTTTCGTTACCTAAAATCAAGGACAGAGAATAAACGATTAGTACAAAGCGTCAATGAAACAAATGAAGACATGTGACGTAAACAAAGTTATTGACTATAGCTTTAACCTTTCTTTTCTTCAATACATGATAGATATCCTCAGGATCAACCAGCCTGCTACGTTTTCTAGGATTCTCAGATTCTTCACTAACAATACTATAACCCAACAATACTATAACCCATTTCTTGCAGCAAATCATGCAATCTCTAATGTGTTCTAAGAAGTCATTGTTATCAGAGACTTATCAATTAGAACGCTTATACAGTAATGCACAGAAGAGGACTTCTTTTCCAGCATTCTTGTAACATTGTACCGGTCCATCCCCCTGAGAAAACATGCAATATCAAGAAATATATTTTTTTGCTCTTTATTTAGCCGATCATAACTAATCCTCAACACATTTAGAATTTCAACATTCTGAACCTGTCCCAACCCATTCAGTGCACTGTGCCAATCCTCTATGCTTCTGTCAAAGAGAGAAGAACCCAAAACCACAAGAGCCGATGGATTTCCTTTTGCATAATTCACTATCCTCCCTAACAAATCTTTGTGATCACTAGTGGGATCAATTTTCTTGAAAGCTTTGGATTTAAGGAGTTGAAGAGCTTCAATGTTGTTCAATGCCTCAACCCCATACCTTGCATCAGCCACTCGATCTAACACATGCTTATCCCTACTTGTTACAAGAATTCTACTTCCGGGACCAAATGAATCATGTCCTTCGAGTAGCAGTTCTTGCAAAGGCATTGAACAATCTACATCATCAAAAACAATGAGAACCTTTTTACGGCGGAGCCCATCTTTTATTAAATGATTTCCAAAATTCAAAGGACCCCATATCCAGAATTTCTTGGTCGAAGTCTCGAAACAATGCTTCTTTGCAAATCAACCACTGTTCGTCTTTTTAACCCTTCCCTGATGTTTGGAACAAAGAGAAAGGCTTCAAATTCAGTGCAAATTTTGTTATATATTGCTCCAGCGATAGTTGTTTTACCTATACCGCCCATTCCCCATATTCCTACAATCCGAACATCTTGTGACTCCATCTCCAAAAGAGATTCAATTTCTCTTATGCGCTCATCAATTCCCACAAGGTTCATGGGTTGAATGTGGAACATTTTGCATAATTTATTGAAGATATCTTTAACAATTTCCTCCATAAATTTATACTCGGACCGACAAAAATAAGGAACACGTACTTGTTAGTTGGAATGGAGGATTTTGGCTATGGAGTTTGGATTAACCAAATGTTGACATTATTCTAATTTGACAATGTAGACGCATATTAACATGAAAACTTATATAGATAAAATGATAATGATAAATAATTTATCATAACTATTTGGATTAATGCATTCTTATCTTCACTGTCTAAGAATTGAAGATGCTTTAGAAGCCTGTAAACCTCAGGAGAAAAATTAAAAATTAAGAACCTAGTCCCTGTCGCCTGAAAGTTCATAGTATAGTTTCACCCATTAATCTTAATTAATTAACTAGAAATAATTCTTCACATCAAATTTCTATCTAATGCTCAAATGGTTTGGTAATACTTATTAAATTTAGGTTTGTCTAACACATGCAAATTAAAAAATTACAATATGGCATTGCCAAAAAAAAAAAAAAGTATAGCCAAACACATAAAAGTACAACATTGGACCCCTCAAGGAATTCCATATTTGGTAGTTGAGGTCTCAGAAATAATTTTATATTAACTTATGATAAATAAATATTAGAAAAAGCTTGCTCTATATTCGGTGCATTGTTTAAATGAAATAATTTGGGTAATAATAAAAATGAAACAAGTTTTTGAAATAAAAAAATATATTTAATTAAAAAAAGGACAAAAATTTAAATTTGAAAACAATTGAAGATTAGGATTCCACATACTAATCCCAGGAAAAAAAATATATAATTCTTCAATTTTTTTAAATAATCAAAATACATTAAATTATTAAATCTAATGATCAACGCTAATTTAAAATTTAAAAAAAAAAAAGATACTTTTTTGTGGTTCAATTAGGTCCACTTGGCATGGAACAAAAATTATTTTTCATGCCATGTGGACCTAATTGATCAAATTGTTCCATACCACGTGGACCTAATTGATCAATGCTAAGTCAACTAATAGCATGATTCAAGTAAATAGAGTGGTTAATATGATTAAAATTAGATAGTAATATGAGTGGACAAGCAATTATTTTTTGCTCACTCAAAACCCTCGATAAACGAATGAATCCATATTTGCCAGCTTACCCAATCTTCCTTGAATCATGCCCAGATAAGTTGCCAGCTTCCTTCAAAGCAGCTCTGTAGCACCGCTCTTCCTCCATCACCAAAGCTTTCTTCTTCACAAGTTCTGCAAAAGCATCTCCAAAGCATCCACTTTGCTTTCTTACACCTCATGGATCAACCTGATAGAATATTGGAATAACGATCTGTCCTCTAATTTTTCTGCATTCAAGAATCTTCACAAGCTCATCTAAGCACCATTTGGAAGATGCATAGTGTTGGGAAAAAATAATCACGGAAAGCATGGATTCTCCGATTGCTTTTACAAGTGAGTCGGAAATTTCTTCTCCTCGTCTTAGGTCGTCATCTATGAAAGTCAGGATATTTTTCCTTTCCAGAGCAGCATGGAGGTGACTGGTGAAACCAACACGAGTGTCTTCTCCACTGAAACTAAGGAAGACTTGATGTTTTCTTCCAAGTTTGGTGGTTGATGTAGTAGAAGAAGAAGCCATATCATAGAAAAAATAAGTGAAACAGGGCACAGGGGTCGGATTCTCTAGAGATATTAAAGGGAAGAAAAAATAAGATGGCTGGAGATTTTAAGTCTCTAGCGTAGCACAGAAAAAGTGTTTGAAAGAGAGTGTGGAAAAAATGTACTTGGAACGGTTTAAGAAAGAGCGTGGAAAAAGTGTTTGAAAGGTCAAAAGATAATAAGACTCGTCGAAAATTTCAACCAAAAAGAACAGTAGACAACATGTCGTTTATTGTCCTTTTCCAGGTTAGTATTTTTTATTTTTTATTTTGGTCTAAAAAATCTACCAGGAACGCTTTAAGAAATACTCGGCATGCTAAAGGTAGAGATGATAAGAAGATTCGTTGAAATTTCAAATTTAATGAAAATTATAAATTAAATAACTTTTTTTTTAATTCGAAGGCCCATGTATCTATTTGCTATGCAATGGAATAGCCTTCTCCGTTGCATTATTATCAAATAAACTTGAAATTATTAAAATTCAAATCTTTCTTTATTTAAAAAACTAATTGGATGTGCAATTATTAAATTAAACCTACTTGTGTTAAAAATAAAATAACTTGAAATGATATCAGCATATATAGTGCTCCGCCCTAGCTAATTACCATAGTGGACCGACATAACTAAAGTTTTATGCATGAAGTAAGTGGGTGCTACAAGCACCAATACGATTAGCAGTAACAGTAGAGAGCCAGAGCCACCACCCCTCTCTTCTTCTTCTATAATCCCACACTAGCAGTCTACGGTCCCACCTCTGCGCCTCTAAGAAACCGACATAATTAAAGATCAGATCCCTCAAGTGCACTCTTTATATAGGCTCAATGTTCACCTAATTAGCAACTTGGCATATTATATGAATCATCATAGTAGGCCATACTTGACTTGGCGTCAACTAAGTCACGGACTTTTATTAAGTTTAATTCTTGTCGTGCTGATGAGCATCATCCTTAATCTCAAGATATACCATCGTTAAAATAAATTAATTTTTTTTTTTTTTATTGATCCAACTGAGTACGACATACTGATAGATAAACTTATGTATTTAATTTTTAATAGATCTAACATTTGTTATGCAGTTCATGTTTTATGGATAAATTAGTTTTGATTCGCTTGCAAGCTATACATAGGGTGCTTAGATATTTGAAAAATACACCAAATCAAGTATGTTATTATCAGTCAAGTTAGATCTTCAATTGAAGTCTTTTTTCAAATAGTGATTGGGTTGAATATCTTAAAGCCAAAAGATCAATTTCAGGCATTTATGTGTTTTTGGAAAGCTTTTTGATTAGCTGAAAATCTAAAAAACAAAGATTAGTAGCAAGAAGTAGCGTAGAAGCTGAATACAAAGCTATGGTAGCAATCACCTGTAAAGTTATGTGGCTTTTGTTTTTATTGCAAGATTTGGGCATCTCACACACAAAGTCTATTTTACTTGTTCGTGACAATTAATTCAATTTACATTTGTGTAAAAATTCAGTCCATCATGAAAGAATCAAGCACATTGAGATTGATTGTCACTTCGTCCGAAAGAAAATTGTCTCCGAACTTATTCAACCTCATTATTTGTCTATTGAAAAATAAATTGTTGATATGTTTATCAAAGCTTTGTAGTTTGGTATCTTTCATGCTTTGATTGACAAGATGAGAATGAACAACATTCATACTCATCTTAATGGGAGTATCAGATTATAGATCAATGGTGATGCTCCGTGTACTAGTTAGTTTCTAATTATTTAGTTTTTTATTAGTTAATTTGTTAACTTAATAAATTAGAATTAGTTCAATTAGGTTTAGTATAAATACAAATTATATTTGTTTTCTAGGCTGTTCAATTGAGAGATAACTTTACTAAATTTTCTTCTCTCTCGCACAACTTTACCAAATTTTCTTCCTTCTCTATCGTTCAGCCATGGAAATCAACATAATCTTTTAAGATGACAAATGGATGCGCAAAGGGACGGAGTCTAATTTCCAATCCAAACTAATTCATTCCTTGCAAGTTGCATTGATGCAAATTAAAGAGTGTAAGTCAATTCAAACTTGTTTAATTTAGTGATAAATCCTATCTTTGTTCTACCGGAGGCTAGCAACTTATAATACTATTCTAGCTTACATTGTTTGGATTCGTATATGGATGTCGGGTGCGAGTATTTATATAAGGATTTGATTTAAGAGTGCCTAATTTTTTGACATGGATATGCAAATATTACATTTACAAGAGGAGCTAAATTAAAAATTCGTTATTTTCATAAAATCATTATAAGAATGAGATTAATTGTCGCTTTTTATCAAACCTTGCTGGGGTCTGCAGATTGCAATGTGTCTACCATGCATGTTGGTTCTCTTAAATCTCTTCTGAAGTTTAATCTTGATTCTAGTCAGGCAACTTTCTTTTCATGAGGTCCTCATGGCTACCCTGTTGAATTTTGTAAGGTAGATTGAGGTATTGTTGGAAGTGAGATTATTGAGGGGATTCAAGAATTTGTCAGAACTGGTTTGCTTCTGAAAGAAATTAACTCAACTGCTGTTAGTCTCATTCTTAAAGTGGAGAACCCTGGGAAAATAACAGAATTCAGACCAATATCTTGTTGTAACACTTTAGGAAGCGTTCTTCATCTATAACACACTATTGCAACATCAGAAGAACCTCATTATTCCGCCTAACGTCATCTTGTAAATTAATGCTTTCTTCACTGAGCCTAATAGCCAATGACAACTACTATGTCCGTCCAGAATCCTCTGTAAGGACAGAATTTAGGGGAATACGAGTAGCTGATAGAACATGTAGGAGTTGGTGTTGACAAAATAATTTCATCTGATCATAGAACATAACTATCCTCTGGCTCCGTTCTCAAAACCAAATTTCAAACGTAGCTTGTAGAACTATTGTAATAGGTTCTGTCGCCAAACTTTTAGTTTCACTCACTGCTTTCTCCCTAAATAAACCTGATTAGAACCTATCAGAAAACCAAAATTTTCCAAAAAATGCAACAATTTACACCCAACATTTCAAAACCAAAAATAAAATAACAAAAATAAATAAATAAATAGAGAATTGAACGATAGTTATCGAAAGTTCGTAGAAGGACAGGAAAAATCATTCTGTTTCGAAACATGAGATAGAGAAAGAGATAGTCACCTGAATTTTCAGTTGCATGTCTGCTATCAATGCCTTCTGATCAAATCTGAAGCAATTTGTAAAACATAACTAACACACTGAATTGCACAAATTGCCGCTTGATATGATTTCTAGTGCTTCATAATTATTAGCTATAAGATATCGAAAGGATAGTGGAAGCTTTGGTAGCTCTTTAGTGAATGTGTCATCTAAAGACTGACGATGCAAATGTTGCAGATGCCTAATTGATGAGGGTGGCTCTCCAATTGCAGTTACACTCAAAAGAAGCACTTTCAAAGACTGCATAGGCTCCATAATTTCTGGAAAGCTTTCGAGTTTTGAGGAACCTGATATATACAGATATTCAAGAGATTTCAATTTACAGATGCTGCTTGGGAGTCTAGAGAGCTTCTTAATTACAGTTCGTCATATATAGTTGTCAGAGAATTGTAAGAAACTCATTGATGAAGGCACCTCTTCAATTGAATTCCCATCCAAAAATAACATTATCATATCTCCTGAAATCTCTGGTTTTGGTTTGTGTAAAGAATTGAAAAAGAGGGTAATTGGTTTGTTCATTGTTGAAGTGATGTCTTTGTTGGTTTCCTGATGAAACAGAGAAGACATGCCTTAGCAGCAGTTGTAGGGAAAGGAGGGGTCCTTGCTTCCATAAATTTTTACAAATACAATGATGCCTGAAGAATGCCACCTTGCAAGAGCTTCTGAATATATAATATGACCCTGCAAATGTAGTAAGAACAAATCTAGGTTTAAATAGAAGTCTTTAACACAAAAATCATTTAACAATGTTCGTTTTACCACTCTAAACACTCCATCTAGTTCCAAAAAAACCTTTCGCAGCATCCCATTTGCAGGCAAAATTTCATCACAGTTTCATGATGATCCAGTTTCTTTAATTCAACACAACCGTTTTACCACTTTTCATAATCATAAATTTCATTGCAGTAGTTGCACTGTCATCACAACAATTCATAATATGACCACTTTAAGAAAAGGAAGAAACGTTGTTATTGACAAAGGAAGGATCAGTCTGTACAAGAAACATTGTCGAACCATTTTGCCAATTATTGTTTCTATCTTACAGTTGCCATTACTTCATACAAAACAATGGCCTGGGTGTGTTGATGGCATATTGTGGTGAACATGCAAGGTTAAAACAAGTGATGGGGTCAGAATAAATCTATACGCCGAGCTGAGAATGGCCCCAATGCGTTCTTTGCTGCTATTACTTTGCTCACCAGCAGTTTCCACTTAGCTTCATCTTTCTTCGTTTGCTGCTGCATTTTAACCTTGAAATGCCTATCAAGAGGGAGAGAGAACACTATCAAGAAACTGCAGGATGCATACTTGTTTTCCTTCTTTTCTAAAGAGTTAACCACATTTTAACATTTACTGACAAGGTTACAAACTTACGACTCAGATCAAGCAAGTAGGAAACTATATGCACTCATCACCCAAGCCGAACAAGTAAAAAGAAGAATACATGAAATTCATCATGACAATATTGATCTCGATGTAGAAGTATAATGGAATCTTCGGTATAGTAATGATACATATAATTCATTCTCACCTACAAAGGGGAACCTTGCAGAGATCAGGCTCATTGCACATACGAGAATGCAGTTCGAGAAGCTGCCACATGCGTTTGCAGTGAACACAACCGCCTGGGACCCGAGTCTTGCAATTGGAGAAATGACGAACTAAGGACTCGAGTCCTTTGCAAGCAGGAAAGTTGCAGGCAACTAGGCTTCCTTTGAGCATTTTGTCACGAGGTCCAATTGTCCTACACCCATCCCTGCATATGTGAAGGAGAGCCTCCATTGCTTCATACAGTTCCAAGTATACTTTTCTCTCTTCTATTTTCCTCAACTTCTCTTGTTTTCTCTGAATCGAAGTGAAACTTTGATGCTATTAATTACATAAAGTTGAACTAAAGAAACTTGTACCAGATTATGTAAACATCAAATCATATATTACGAATCATAACTATGGATATGACTATTGACTTGAGGAAAAGAACATGAAAGAAGGGGTCCAGAAGTCAACAGTAACAGCAAGACCAACCAATTACTACAGTAAATTCAAGATAGTAAATAACCCGCTCCCTTTCCAAGTAGAAAAAAGCAATTGGTTTATGAAAATACATGTTGACTATCGAGAGTAAAAGGATTCACAAGAACAATAGAATTTTAGGCTTCGAAATTACAAGAGTGGGAGACTTATGTCAAGACAACCAAGTAGACATTCCACTGAGTGAACATTTTACTAGACTCAATCATAACCAAGTAGATATTCCACTGAGAAACATGTTGCAGACTCAACCATTACTACTGACTAAGATGAAGAACCTTTTCCTGATTGGAACCAGCAGATATTCCACTGAGAAGGCTTTTTTGTGTATTAGATAACTTGTTCTCAAAGGGGCATCCAACCTATACCCAGTGGCTAGTGCCAATGATTCCCAAAAAGCTGAATTTACAGGATTCCAATTTTAATGGTTAAATTATACATGTGACGATCCACTAGTTTCTACTTCCTCAACTCAACATAGGAGTATAAAAATAAAAGAAATAAAAACCTTCCTTGTGCTAGCTTGTAGCATGTCATCTATAGTCTAAACATGTTAAAATAACTTAGATTGCTTCTCAGTGTGCTTAAAATAACTTGCTGCATATTCTATATTATTGTTCGAAACAAAGATCAGGAAATGACTTACCGAATCTGCTTCGACAACAGACTCTACAAGCTCTTGTTCAAGGGCAGGGTTACAACGCCTCATAACTTTCCAACCTTCAGTTGAGGATACAGATTTCAAGTCCTTCACAACCATACGAACACAAATGAAGGAGAGTCGTGGCGCATCACACCTTCTTGCTAACTGAAGCACATCTATCACATTTTCTTTGGTCAGTAGTTCCTGCTCCAGAAGGTCTATACAAACTCTTTTCAGTGATGGGACTGAGTACGAGTGTGATAAAACCAACAGATGGAGAACAAACGTTTTCATCTCATCCTCTTCATAGCTGCATTAGGATATCAAGAATGAATATCTTTATTTAAATCAGAGTACATTAGAACGATGCAGAACCAAAAGGGAAGCATTTCCATTGCCACCCATTCCAACCTTAGAAAGATGCATTTAAGAAGAACATATAGCATTCTCTGTCCCATCAGTTACCAGAGAAATTTAATGATGATGAATTTATGGAAAAGGATATTTGAAGATACCAGGATGAGTACAAAAACCGAATGAACGTGTAGACAGCTTCACAAGGTACACCAAGAATTTTGATGTATCTAATACCATTCTTAACTTTTGACTGCTGCAGGATATTCCCAAGCACAGGCGATGCAATACTCTGCAAAAGGAAAAGTTAAATCTGTAAATCCAAACACCACATTGAACCTAAATTTCTTAGTGATTATAATTCAACTTCAGGTGTTTATTCGTGATAAAAATTACGAATTTTGCTATTGATACTGCCCCTCTTTGTCTCCATTTACCAAAGAAAACTTGTAAAAACACATCTTTTGTTTTCTGGATGCACACGCCATCATCAAGCACAAAGTTTAAAGAAGATGCAATTGCCTATTTCATCTTTACATTTAGATGTATGAAGCAAAATTCCTCAACTCACGCAGTAATCTTTAATGAAAAAAATGATACTTCCAAGTAAGCAGATATGTTGGGGAAGTCTAATCAACTCACCAGAACATTGCAATGAGCTGGAATATAGGAGTTGCTATCTGTTATAACGTAAACATCTGCACCATCTGCTTCCTTGAATAGCCTCTCCCATGTATCTTTCGTTTCCTTTGGAACAGAGCAACTGTCTGTGATCCTTTGGCAATGGTTGGCTGTTTTGGATGTTTTAGTAGGATAAGGTGGAGGCTTGGGGATATTACGGGTATCAGACTCAGAAGATGCAGGAGCTTCCAGCACATTTAAAACATTGGCTGGTTGGACCTCAATTTGAATATTGAAACATCCACTAAAAGATTCACCAGCAGCACATAGCCAAGGACAATCGACATCCGGTGAAGCCATAAGTTATTTATGGTTTCTGCTGTGTGAAAATAAAGTATTGCTAGAAGATCTGCAAGAAAAAAGAAACAAAAAATAAATGTATGATTGTAAGTGAACAACAAAGAAAATGTACATGAAAATGTAGGGAGGGCCCATCAAATCATCAAAAAAATGAGATAGAAGGCATTCGGCATTTACAATAAATATTAGTACCAGGACAGTTGTGTATGAAACTAATACAAATATGTCCAAATATACAGACTGGCTAATTTTGGTTTCAAGATGGTGTCATATATCTAACTATTGGCCCAACATTGCTTCAAAAGGAATGCCAAACTAAACAATATACAAATCCAAAGTTTAATATTATCGAAAAGGAAAAGAATCAGTTGCAGAAATCCTTCCTAAGGACTTTTAGTCCATTCACAAAGTTTCTTGAGACGAAAACTCCGAAATTCGTTGCTTTTAGTTGAGAAGTTTTCTCATTTTCTGTTACAATCTATTCTCAGGAATCTTCATCAAATCAACAAGAACAAACTTAGGTGCGATTAACTTCAACATTGATGGAAGACACAAAACATGCAAAACCTGTTTACTTTTCTATGTTCAATCTAAAGAAGCACGAATGGAAAAGCATTTGGTCATCAAAGTACAAAAGAAAATAATAGAATAATGAATAAACATGGTCTAAAAATTATTATAAAATAAAGGTGAAAAGAATAAAGAAAGCAACATAGACCAAATATGATTAAAATAACATTATTCTTTTAATAAAAATCCAGACCTTTTCAATATCTATTCAACCTCTTAAGCAACCACAAAGGATATGCTCGAAAAATGGACAGAAAGAACAAAAACCAGATCCCAAAATCCTTACTTTATGCACTTCAGCTCTCACAAAAAGCAGAAAATAAGAAAAAAGTAAACTAAAAATTGCATTTTTTTTTCATACACAGAACAGAGACAAATTGATTTTCTTTTTTTTTAAAAAAAAAAAAAAAAAGCACAAACAGCTAAAGGGCAAAATCAAACAGTATTCATAAAAAACTGAAACCATAACAATTGTAAGAAATGAAACCATAACAACAGTAAGAAATGAATATCAGAGTCTTCCACAATTGTTTCTTCATTTTCTTTTCCTAGAATTTTCTCAGCAACCAAGCAGAACAAAAAAGTACCAAGTAATGTACCATACCTTTAAAAAAAACAGCAAATCTTCTCCAAAAAGCTGGAAGATTTGCCTGATCTTCTGCAAAGTTTTATTTACTATATGATACTTGTATATACACTACCACTGTATAGCCAAAGCACCTAACAAAAAAGAAAAAGAAAAACCAGCCCACAATATTAGATACTTTTTCAAAAGCTAATCTTTAAGCCAAAGAATTCACTAAAAACTTGCAAACCCAATATTTTTTTTCCCCCAAAAAAAGGACAGCGACAAAGAGAGAAACTGAAAGACACCTTCTTGATCATGTGGGCATGAAAGAAATGAAATTTTTTCTAAGAAGAAGTGGGTTTTTATACTATACTGTGCTGATAGAGAGAGAAAGAAACAGAGAAGAAGCTTAAAAGGGGTACTGTGTTGGCACAGAAAGAAGAGGACAGGAAGGAACAAAGCAGAGAGCAGAGAAAGACGTGTGCCTTAAACAAGAGGCACAAATGGTGCGCTAGTCTCTTATTTATTAGGTCCTTTGAGTTTCGTTTCTCTAACAAATTTGGACTTGAGTGGACAGATACCTGCCCTATGTCATTTTTTATTAATGGTCAATCATTAAGTTTTAAGGAATTTTATTAAAACCTAAACTAATCAAATTTTATATCAAAATCGGTGCAACTGATGCATTTATGAGAAATTATTTTCTCCTAACCTCTTCTTAAATTCCATTTCTCTCAATTTTGGATTGAAAAGGTTTTATTTCAACAATAGATATTCGAGACTAAGTTCGTTTATTATTAAATTTTAAGTAAGCTTTTTAAAAATAAACTAATTAAATTTTATTATGGAAATTAATGAAATCAATGCATTTATGAGAAATTATGTTCTCTTAACCTCTTCTTTGAATTTCCATTTTTCTCAGCTTTGGATTAAATAAGTTTTATTGCAAGCAAGCATTTGACGTCATGTTTGTTTTTGGTTAAGTTTTAAGTAAGCCTATTGAAATTTAAACTAATCATATTTGATAGGAGAATCGATGAAATCGATGCATTTATGAGAAATTATATTCTCCTAACCTCTTCTTGAATCCCATTTCTTTCAAATTTGGATTAAATAAAGTTTATTTCAAGCAAGCTTTTGAGATATTTGAAACTAAGTTCGTTTACTATTAAGCTTTAAGTAAGCTTCGTTGAAATATAAATTAATCCGGTTTTATATCAGAATTAATGAAATTGATGCATTTACGAGATATTATTTTATCCTAACCTCTTCTTGAATTCCATTTCTCTCAAATTTGGATTAAATAAGTTTCATTTTAAACAAGCTTTCGAGACATTTGAGACTATGTTCGTTTATTGTTAAGTTTGAAATAAACCTATTAAAACCTAAACTAATCAGATTTTATATCGAAATTAATAAAATCGATGCATTTATGAGAAATTATTTTTCCTAACCTCTTTTTGAATTCCATTTCTCTCAATTTTGAATTAAATAAGTTTCATTTTGAATAACATTTTTTGTGAAGTAGGTAGGTAGTTTGAGAAATTAGGAATGTTCATTAAGTTAGCTATTTGAGGAAAGATTATCATTAGTCGTTATTAATTGTCTTGTTATGGATTAATTGTTATATTTACCGACACTATGATATGGTGACGAGAAATTTTATAATACTTAAGGAGTAACCGAGTGTAAATTACTCTATAAAGAGAGAGAGAGAGACAAAAAGAAGAGAGAGAAAATTAAAAAAATTTAAGCCAAGATGAAAATCTTCCTATCACATTTAGTGGATCCAAATGTAATTCTTTTTTTATATAATTTATCTATCTCTTTCAGTATTATAAAATATCTCGTGAAGTGATTATATATTTGAAATTTAAAATATTTTAAGCAAGTATGAAACCCACGAGTTTAAAATGATAAAATAAATTTAGTTTAATTAGTTAGTAAAACTAATTGATTTTTTCCTTCTAATATTATGATTTTTTTTTGCTAGAAACAAAGATTTTATTTTTAAATATGATAAGTAATATGTTGAATAAGATGAGAGAAAAAAATGAAGGAACTTGCTAGAAAAATATAAAATATCTTAATTGAAATATGATACAAGTATTGTACTACAATTAAAAGATGTCATGGTGGAAATTCAATGGAAAGTGGACACCATTAGAAAAAATTTCTCTTACCTTGCAAATTTGTCCTTTTGGAGGGTAGTTTGATTCGGAATCAAGAAAAGATAGGATTGAAAAGGTTTAAAATGTTATGAAGAAATAGCTATCATAAACATCTAAACACAAAACAAGCTAAAAAGTGATATTAGGGTTTGCTTTTGTAAAAGTTTATATCATTGTATACAACTCGAAAATCTTTTGGTAAATGAATGGAATTTGAGGATCACCATGATTTCTACGACAATATTAACATGAAGAAATTGTTAAAATGGAAACTAAATCTAATCCAATCTTGTAACATGATCTTCTTCTTCCATCTTCAAAATCTACTTCTAGCTTTTCTTGATAATCCAAATCCAAAGTTTCATGAATATCTTTTAGTATTGGGTAATATTAATCTTATGGAAAGATTTTTTATCCAATTTACTTTTAGAAAAAATTCAACTATTAGATTTATTGGATTCATTAATAAGATCCATTCATTTAATGTATGAAATTTGTATTCAGTACATAAAACTTTTAGAAAAGGGAATTTGGAAAGAATATTTACCAAAATTAGCATTATTTTTTTAGCATTTTCTAATGTGATAAAGGGAATAAGTTTTAATTAGCTAGTAAAATTATTTGATCTCCTTTTTTGCTTCTTATGTTTATAAGTAATCAAATATTTTCATTACTTGAAACTAGTTGTGTCGGTTTGTCGTGATCATATCGATACTTTGATTTACGTCTTTAATATTTTTTGATATTCGATAAAGTGAATTAGTTTAATTAACTAGTATAATTATTTGATGTCTTTTTTTTTATCTTCTTATCTTTATAAGTAACTTAATATCCTCACAAAACTAGTTGTGTGAGATCATATTGATACTTTGATTTACAAAGGTCGGCTTATTTTGCTTTCATTTGTCTCAATAATTTGGATTGAATTCGGATTAAATGTCATTGATATATATATAAGAAATAAGGGGGGAAAAAAGAGAGTAGTCAATGATATTATACTTAAACCAAATTGTTTAAAATTGTAGTCTAAAAAATGAAAATAAAATTTTTTATTATATAGTTAATAAGTAGATTATCTTTTTCTTTTTCTTTTTCTTTTCTGCATGTGCTTTCTTCTTTGAATGAGGAAACGTAAGGTGTTAAAGCAAGCTGTTAATTAATTGTTGGAACAAATGGTTTTGAGAGCGTTTTCTCATTGTGTATCATCTTTGTGCAACTTCGAAAAGTAGATTTAAGGAAAAGAACATGTGGACGTTTTTCTTCCTCCGAATAAGCAAAATCTTTCTTCACAACAAATAATCTTAATTATTCGCACTTCACAATTAAATCCTACTCTTTGATGTTTTTCTTTTAAATTTTTCACCTCGTACCAAATGAAATTTAAAAATTTAAATTTTTAGACTTGAGAAGTTTTTAATAATATATCACACTTAGCTTGAAGCCTCTAGTTATATTAAATGATCAAATGTTCGAATGTTCGAAATCTGTAATTTCACTTAATATTTTAGACTTTTTAATTAAATAACTATTTCTCTCTTTTTGATTATTTTTAAACTTAAAAATTCTAGCAACTAAGCCTAACATTTATTGGTAATACCATTAACTGCCTCATGTAGACATTGTCAAAACGAATTAACTCTTGCTATGTATGAAAATGATGATATCACGCTTTGAAAATGCAATCGATTTTGAGGGAAAAAAAAAACATTTTAATTTTTTGAACATAAAAAGAACCTTACCGATCATAATGGTTAGACACTAAAAAAAATATGGATTGAATTAGGCATTATTCATCACTATAAAAATGATGAACTACTCTATTTTTTTTTTCAAGGAATTTTTAAATCTAAATACATTCACGAGTGAATTTGAAGTCCTTTCATGAGTTTAATGAGCTCTCTACCACTATACCGAAAGATTATTGTTAATTGGTTGCGATGCTTGTGCTATTGTAAAACCACGAATGAAAATGATGGAAGGCTCTTTCACCATATTTTCTTGATAGAGACTGTGGACGGGCCATGGCAAAAGAAGGAAAAGGTAACCCGATTCACATCCCAAACTAGGCTAGTTTGGGTCATCGATCTGCTGGCACTTTGCTAGATCATGTTGTCAGGTTGCCATCACAGCCACTTCTTGGGATAAGATTGGAGAAGTGTTGCAATTTATTGTTCATTTTGAAAGAAAAAATAGTTCTATAAATATTTCACCAATCAAATAATTAATGGGAATTTCAAGTTTAAAATCACTATCAAGCCAACTTCAGGCCAATAAGTGATGAATCAGCTTTATTTGTTTTGTTCTCCAATTTGGATCTCTTCTACACATATCTCTTAAGTTATCTCCAAGACCTTTTTTTTTCTTTTTCTTTTTTCTTTTTTTGAGAATGAAATTATATCCAAAACTTAACTGTTCAGTTCTTGTGTCAAACTTTCTCATTGGCCTAGAAAGAGTGGTAAGAAAAGTTGGAAATTTCTCCCAATGCCATAAAATGGGTGGCTACCCTAACATGTCTTGTTATCATGAGTTTGAACTTAAGGAAATGTTGTCACAATGAATTTCTTTTCTTTTCTTTTTAAAGATTGTCTAAGTTGGATTAATGGTATTTTGTTCTCTTGAATTATTGGAAGATCTATATTATTAATTTGATTTGTTTTGTATTGTCTATTCGTTTGATTTGACTATTACTATCATCCAAAATTTTCTTTTAAAAGGTTCAAATTTGATATTTTTAACTAAAACAAAATTCATATATGCTAATGAAAATTCAATTTATTTTCAATAATAATTTCAATTTTTTTAAGTCAGAAAGTATTTTTCTATTTTATGAAAAATAGAAAATGAATTAGCATTATCTTATTTTTTAAAAAAATATTTTAAGGAGGTCATATGAATTTACTTTGGTAATTTTAGTATAGTTTTCAAAATTTTTATATACATGGTTTTTCAAAATTAACCTATTTTAAGATTGGTTAGGCGTTACACTCAACCATGTAAATATTTTAAGAATCATATTAAAAACTAAAAAAATAAATTTTAAAGATTTTTAAGCCTCCCAATAAAATTTGGGATCATTATAAATTATTTTTAATTATTTTTAATTTTGTTAATATTTAATGTTAAAAAAAATAAAATATGCATCTTGATCTTAAAAAAAAATTGAAATTATTTTTGAAAGCATATTGAATTTTTATTAGTATATGTGAAAATTTTCATCTCAAAATACCAACAATTGAATTGTTTGAGATGAAAAATTGTATCTCAAAAAATGACATTAAACCGTTTTAATTTAATTAGATGTAAATGATATGTTTCATACTTATTAAAATAATATAGTCTTGGTTCATTCTTTTGGTTTGGAAGCATGCAAAACTTAGAAATAAATATACTATTACTATGTTCATGCACGTCTATTGTTATGGTCGGTGATTTGTTGTTTGTTCATGCGTTTTGAGTTCATAGTCGGTGAAAATTTATGTTTTCCATGGCTTCCTGCCACATAAAACCACAGTCCAACGCTCCCTCTCCACATATTTAAAAAAAGGAAAAAGGTTGGCATCTCAAGTGATTTAAAATAGTTATGGACTATCTAAGCATATGGCATAGGAAGAGATAATGTATTAAACGGTGAAGCTTGTTCCTTCCATGGAATGTAAAAATACCATTCAATCTTTGAAATACTTGGTTTTTTTTTTTCCTTTTTATATTCTAGATAGAATTTTACAATCTGCATAGACTTTAAAGGATAAATTAGTATTATTAGTTAGCAGATTTTTATCTTGGTGTGTCAAAGTTGTCTAAAAAAGTTTAATTTCTTCATACCAATTGCCTTATTTAACATCATAATATGATTATACGTAAAGGTTGCAAAAAACAAAACAAAACACTTTACTGTAATTGAAAATTTTTATATTGAATACTTATTAGTCAAGAATATATGGTAAAATACCTTTTAGACTTGAACGAAAAAATAAATATCCTTTTAAACTAAAAAATCTCAGATTTTATTCGTAAAATAATATGATTTTTTGAATGTGTTTTTTCATTATAACTATGTAGAGAAATTGACGAAAAAAACTCATAAAAACCTTTTCAATTTATATATTTTTTCTCTATCAATTTAAGAAACACACATTTATTAATAGAAAAAAGAGGGAAGGGAGGATTTTTAAGAGCTTCTTCGTCAATTTTTCAATAAAACTCTAATAGAATGAATGAATATAAAATTTTATATTTTACAGTAATTTTCTAATAGAACAAATGAATTTAAAAAATTATGTTGTTGTAGGGAGTAAGATCAAGAATTTTTTAATACAAAAAGTACTTATTTTTGGGTTAAGTTCAGAGAAGTATTTTACAATTTAACCTCGAGTAAATGAATAGTTAGATCTCCTAATTGCAAAATAGCATTATGCCAACAAAATACGGCAAAAATACCCAAGCATTAAAATATAAAGAGAAAAGCTAGACTGCGTTTGTCGTTCTTTCACTTGTTGATGGTAGTGAAAGATCTATACAGAAACTTAAATGGGGCCCAGTTTGTGCGTCCAAAACATACGACAATTTGGTGACCATAATGGACCAAGGAATCAGAACTCTCCACGTGGATGAGTTGACAGAGGACTATGTTAGCAAGAGAAGAGAGGAGGATAAACTACAAAGTGGGGCGGCCATTGATGACCAAGTTGCTAGAAAGGTGAGCTAGGGCACGTGACATGAGAGGGATAGGAAAGAAGAAGATATGGTGTCGTTGGAAAGTGCGATTTTTGCTTGAAAAAGATGGAAAGGAAGAGATTCATGGGGCCAAAGCTGCTACTGGTGAGCCAGCCACAGTCTCCCATCACCTTAGGGTCCATCTTTGATACCTTTCTTCTTTCAATAGGCTGATGAATATTCAAAGAGAAATTTTCAATTCAATGGAAAAAAATAGGGGAAACTTAATCCATGATGAGATTTACTTACTTTGGGTCTCCATTATTGATGGGATTATTAAGTTCTTGTAAAGTTCGATAAACTAATTAATTAGCATTTCAGATATTGTGTTGGATATTGTATTCGTGATATATAGTCATATGACATTCTTTTTTATGTGTGATGATATTTATTAGTTTGATGGTATTTTTTATCTATAAACTCATTGCCGTTATGGTAAAAATAAAATTTAGATTATCAATTTTAGTTTATTTTGTTCCCAAAGTATTATTTTTGAGTTAAATTATATCTTTTTGTTTGATTGAATTATTGAGAATGATAGTCAAACTTTGACCGTTAATTCTTAATAGGATTTTTTTAGAAAAAAAATTAATTAAAACTTCTTTGCATATGTTTTCTAACTTTTAAATTAAAATTTTGTGAAAGACACACAGTTCATTTGTTTGCTTTTTTTATTTTTAATATGCTTGTTTGATAATAATGTCGTGTTGGACCAAAAAAAAAAGATCAAAAACGACATGGTATCAAGGTTTTCAATTAATAATCAAATTTTAATTATCAATTTTAAATGGTTTAATCAGACGAAAGGACATAATTTGTTAAAAACAAAATTAATAGCTGGAGGAGAAAATGTATCGATTTGATTAGTTTAAATCTTATTTTACTACAATTCCAAATTTCAATAACTTAGCGTGAAAGTGCCATTACATTTATATTTTTTACAAATATTATTTCATGAGTTGATAGTGAAGTCAAAGTTCCTCGAAATAAGAATTGTTATTCATGTTGGATGGGCCAGCAATTAAGGGCTTGTTTGAACCGTGTGGTTCAAGCAAGCACCAACTGGAGGATTAGTCTGGCTAGAAGATTTGGATATCTTGGTTGGTAATAAACAATTATTTCCCCCTTTTGTTGCTTTTTGTTATTTCAACAATTCCAAAAAATCTTCAATCGTTCATTTATATTTGTTTTAAATTATTTATTAGAGAAAATTTTTTAAGTAATGTATCTTCTAAAATACTCTAGTTAAAATATATTTTATAAAAAAGTATTCAAATACAATTTAAAATATATATATATTTAAAAAAGTATGAATACAAAATATTTACATAGCATAACAATTAATAATTTTTTTAATCCGTGTGAAAAGTAAAAAAGTATAATTTTTTCGGGATGAAGATAATATTTTGTTTAGATGGTGTTTGACAAAGGATAAAAAAAATGGGATAGTACATTAAGGAAATGAAGTATAAAGATAAAAAATTCGAATTAATGACTCAATTTGTTTTTAAACAATAACATAAAATTCTCAATCTATCACTATACCTTTAATTAAAATAGTTTTATTTTTAAATATATATTAAGTGTTTAATATATTATTTTGGTAATATTTTTAAGAAAAATTAACAAAATTAATCATGTGATTTGTATAGAAAAACTTTTCATTTGACTAATTTATAGGGATATTTTAAAGATAAAAATTAGTTTTATGTAAATTACGTGAATAGTTTCTATAATTTAGCTCAAAAAACTTGATACAATGATAGACCGAAAACTTAAAATATATTCAAAAATAAGATGGGTTAAATTAATAATATAAAAACAAATAAAAAAATAATCTTATTATATAATAATAAATAATCTAACAGTTTTAAAATGAAAATGAGGATTACCACAACTTTTTAGGCGGTAACATCAATAAAGATTAAAGAATGAACTTCTTACATAGTTATTATTATTTTGTTTGACTAAGGCAAAGGAATATGTGGTTGCCTTTTGCTCCTAATGTGAAATTACATCATTGCAAAGGTCATGGGATGGAGGCAACCAAAAGGAATCTTTGCATGCCGTAGATTAATGGGAAATAAAACAAAAGAATCGACAAGAAAATTGTTATTTCCAAATAACACCATCCCCATATGGTAAGACATTTGGACTGCATGATGAGAGCAATTTCTTTTCTTGTGTTTCATGCAAAATTTCAAATTTAAGCAAGACTCCATTATTTGGGGCGACAATAATGACTTAAGACCACTAAAAATTAACTAACATGATCAACACCTTTAATTGTGTGCATAATATTTTGGTTTATCTCATGACAAACTTATTAACTTTTTATGATTTTTTTTATTTTCATTTTTATTTTAAATGAATTATTCTCAATCTAGCTTTCAAATCACTCAAATACTAGATCCATCCTTTTTTTTTACGGTAATTCGATATCGAATTACGTCTAATCTTTAATTAATTTTAAGAATCGTATACTTTGAACCTACCGACAGTCTATATTCGAACTACACGGAAAAAGAATGAGTTTTTCAAAAATAAAAATCAAATCCCTGACAATATTCTAATTATTTACGGTAAAATTATATCTCTAAACCAACTTTTAAATATTAAAACTAAATACACTTTTGGATTAATTCGATTATGAATAAAAAAACATCGATAATCGTAATAAGAGATATATAACAAGCTTTCGACAAACATTAATTATTCAGCAATATGCAATAGTCAATTATTATTATTATTTCTCTGACAAAGTTTCATAATCGAAACTAAATTTGAAATTTTAGATTAACATCCTTAGGATGCCAAATTCTAAGAAAATCGACCAACCCAACCCAGTCCAAAGAAAGATTCAGAAGATGAAGAAAGACATGGCCCTCTCTCAGCAGATGTGGGCTCAATTTCATCCCCCTTTGTGTCTGTTGCTTTGGCCCAGTTTCAATTCTTGGATGATACAATTTTTGATACCAATTCATCAATGTTCTTGTCAGAAGAACCACCTTCACTAACAGCTTCAATAGCCAACTCTCTCCATTTCTTCGCATTCTTTTTAATCTCCTTCCCTCTCTCTCCCTCCATCACTTCCCTTATACAAAACTCAATCTCTTCTCTTGGTACAATTCCATTTTCATTAACCTTAACTCTAACTCCCACCTTCCAAACATCCTCTACGAATTTGGCATTTGGTGGCTGGTCAGTCCATAGTGGCATTGCCACCATTGGTATGCCAAGACTTAATGCCTCAATCGTCGAGTTCCAACCACAGTGTGTAAGAAAACATCCCACAGCCTCATTCGATAGCATTCTCAGTTGAGGAATCCACCCAACGATACAACCTTTGTCACCTAAGTCCTCCACGAATGTTTTGGGGAGTTTGGCTTGCTCAGTTTCTCTTATTGCCCACAAGAAATAGAAATTACTGTTCTTTAATCCCCAAGCAAGTTCTTCCATTTGCTTCTCACTTAGATCAGAAATGCTACCTAAGCTCGCATATATGACTGACCTTGCTGGTTTATTGCTGAACCAGTTTGTGGAAATAGATGCTTGTAATGTAAAGAGATCGAGGTTATAGCAATCATCATCTTCAACACGCTTGTCCAAGTATATTGATGGAACTGTTGGTCCAATTGTCAGCGTTGGAAAAACTTTTGACATTGTATCTATTGCCTGTCCAAACAAAACGCAGTATATGGTCAAGTATATAGGCTTTTTCTTTTTCTTTTTTGATAGTTGTTATCACATGAAAATATGAAAATATTTATTGCACCAATTATGCTAGTTGTTCTGATTCAAATAGATTGTGATGTTTGACGTTTTACATGGATTAAAAAAATTATTGATTATTATGGTGTATCATTTTCTTTATTCACAGTTTTTTAAAATACTCTCATTTTAGTAGTAATTTTTTTATTAAATAATTTTAAATAATAATTATAGAAAATAAATATATATTTAATATTTTGACTAAAATAAATATTTTAAAAATAGATACCAAGGCGATCTTTTGGAAATGGATGGAGGAAATTTTATAATGGGCTACTCATAAATTAAAAAGTTTTTGTAATGGGCTTGTAGGTCTAGGCCTGTTGTTTAGGACTCAGGGCTTGGTCAGGAGCTTTTCACTCATAATGGGCTTGGCTTTGATTTTATTTGTAATATGGTATGGGCCTTTTTATATGATATGACCTACATCAATGATAATTGTTCCGTTAATTGTTTGGTCACTTCATCGAAATTATCAAGTGTAAATAACAATGAGAATGAAAATAATGCAAGAAATTATCTTCTTTGTTTTTGCAGAAAATGTATAATATATGTAAATCTAAACATATAACCAAATAAAGTAAATATTAATTTGGTCTAATATGATGTCATTCATCATTTTGTATTTCCTTAAGTTTGATTTATTTTCTTTATATACAAATAGATATTCCATTTCAAAATGGATTGTAAAATTTTATTATTTTATTTTTAATCATCCTTTTTTTTTCAATAAAAATATTACTTTTATATTAATGTTTATTATAAGACAATATTTAATTAGAAACATGTTTATTTAACACTGAGAATTTTTATTTTATTGAAAATACATTTTGGCTAAAAGGTTATATTTTGATCTGTTTATGGTGTTTAATATATTTTTGAAGGGTAGTTATATACATCTATCTCTATATAATACTCAAAATCTCTTATAAGTTTTTAAATTTTCAATTGCATCCTATATATTTTTGAAATTTTTTGAAATATTTGATTTGTCATTTCGATCAAATTTTTTGATCATAAATTTTTTTGATCGAAATATCCGTTATTAAAATGTGAAAAATAAAATAAAACAAAACACTTAAAGTCACATGACGTACATGTTTTATTTTTAAAGTTATTGGATTTTTAGTTTTATTTTTTTGTATTTTAATCAGGAGCATTTCGGTACAAAAAAATTAATTAACTAGAAAAATTGATCGAAATTACATATTGAATATTTTAAATACTTTCGAGATCAAATAAGATGCAATTAAAAACTTAATAACATATAAGAGATTTTGAGTATTATATAAGGACATATAAGTATATTTGTTTTATTTTAAAACCGATATCAATTGATCAAAAAAGAAAAATAAATAAATAAATAAATAAAGAGATCAATTTTTCACTTCACAAATTTTGGAGTAAAAATGCTGCCACTCTTTATTAGAAAAAGAATTGAAGTATAAAAAGGACTTGCTACTTTGCTAAAATTGAACCATGTAAGTCATAATTTACCTCAGCCTCTAGCTTGTAGAATGTGTTGATAAGAATGCAATCAACTTTTTCTGTATTAGAAAACTGATTCAGCAACCCCTTGAAGTAAACAGGATAGGAGCCAGGGACATTAACGAAGGATGGCATGTCTCGAAGTTCAAGCAAAGGCAATCCAGGAATGGAAACCGAAGCAGAAGTAATTGGCAAACTCAAAAATCCATGATGAATGTTGTAATAAATATAATCAACAGCACAAGGTTGAGTAAAAAAGGCAGCTCCCAAGACCCCACAATCTTTAGCAACATCCAAGACCCAGTGCAAGAAAGGCTCATAGATAACACAATCAATAGGGTATGGTGTGCTTCGATATTTGACAATAAGTTCTGCTAGGGTTTTTGAACCTTCTGCCTCTAGCTTTTCAAGATAGAGTTCACTAGAAACAGAACTTGAAAAGCCATTATCAAAACCATCAGAAATTACATCAAGATGGACGGGACCGATTGAGGAGCCAAGCTTCATAGATTTAGCAACGAAAATGGATGTTACAAGAGTGGCTTTGATCCCTTTGGAGACCAAACGCCTTGAGAATTGCATATTGGGATTTATATGGCCTTGGGCTG